TTGTCTCTGTTGGTCATCACAGAAAACAAAATACTGGGAGACAGGGAGCAAGGCATCACCCTCCTGTTGAGGAAGCATTGCTCTGTGCCACGGAAATCCATTCCTCTCCTACAATTTCCTTTATTGCAGCCTTGTTGATTGCTTTTATCCCTCCTATTGCCTGTCTTTACTTCAAAAATACAATAAAAGTCTTGCTAAGCCCTGGAAATGCTGAGCAGGAGGTGGATCAGACTGTGCTGGGAACAGACTCACACTGAACATCTCCTCAGGGCCAGAGACACCTGGGTGATTCCTGGGGCAGGACAGGGCTCACCCCAAACCTTTCCACAGCCAGGAAAATCCCACCATGACCCTGCATGGGTCAGTACAGGGGAAGCACCACAGCATTTCTGCTTTTAGCCACAAAGCAGGAGTTTGGATCAGGTGAGGAGGATGTTTTGTGCTTTCTGTGCCACAGCACCGCCCTGGCTGCCCTGGCTGGAAACCCCCAGCTGTGGCCAGAGGCACTACTACCCAACAATAATCCTCACCACATCATAAACCTCTTCTTCAAGGGGTGCTGATAAGGATTTCCATTTTTAGTCCAGGGCAAATGAACCATTCAGCCTTTATTTGTTGCTGCTGCACTTGAAGAGGGAGCAGAAGCTCATTTTTTAACTTTTCCTGTAAATAATGCATTAATGAAGACAGATGGGTCAGCAACATAAACAAAAGCTCTATCTCAAGCTGGTTTTGTTCTGGTTTTGTTTCCCAATATAGTAAGCAGGACACCACCACCCCGGTTCCCATCCTATTAACAGTGTTTGCACTCCAAATGTTGAACTGGGTTGTAAGGAAGTTTAAATTAACACTGGGCTGTAGTTTTTCAAATGTTTGAAGCAGATGTTCAAGTGCCTTTTTTTAAAAATTTTTTTTCCCCTCTAAAATCCCAGTGGATTTTGCAGGGCTTTGGTTCAATGTTATGTCACAGAAAATCCTAAACTCAGCTCTGCCATTGTGCTGTGGGTAACCCAGGCACCAACCTGCCTGGGGCTGTCAAAAATCACCTTTTGGTAATCAAATCCTTTGGTAAATCTGAATTACCAAATCCTTTGGTAATTCTGCACTGCTGCAGGCTCTGGTTCGCTTTGCTCTCTGAGCAGTCTCAGAAGGGCAGTGCAGCAGCTTTGGGGAGGAGAAATTTGGGATAGGTTCTGGCTGCTGCTTTAGATGGTTTTTCCAGAGTGAGCTCAGTTTTGGGAGGTTCATCTCATGCCTTTAGAGGGTGCTGCTCACCTGGCAGGGCACAGAGGTGTGGAGAGATGTGTCCACAATGTCGAGGAATGCGATTTTTCCCTCAAAGATTGGCATTTTGGCACCCCGAAATGGGCTGGGCAGAGCCAGGGAGAGGGGTGCCCTGCTCTCCTGGCTGAGCAGGCTCTCAGAGCAGCCCAGAGCAGGGCAGGGCCGGGAGAACCACCCTGAGCTGTCAGGTTAGACCCTCCAAAAGTGGGAATGTGTCTCCTCCATCAGCTGCACTGCAGAGTGAGCCTGGAGCCGGGTCACACCCAGGGAGGCTCTGGGGGAAAATCCATTTGAGGACTTGGAGCCCACGTGCAGAGAGCTCAGAGACAGGGATCCCTTGAGGGAACCTCAGCCCTCCAAGTGCTTGGTGAAATCTGCCCTGGGCGCTGAGTGTTGGCCCAGGGGACACGGCTGTCACCGTTCCTGCACAGCCCCAGCAGAAAGGACGATGTCTTCAGGTTCAAGTTCTTCTGGAGACTCTGTGTGTGTGTGTGGACTTAAGAGCAGCAGTCCAAGACCAAAGCTCTTCCCTCAGCTCCCTCACTGAGCTGCTCTCCAGCCTCTTCCTCTCTGGGATTATTTGTTTTTCTCCCACCCTTTTGCCTGTTCCTGCCTGCTTGGCCTGAAAGCGCTGCCTGGAATTTTATACAACATCCAGCAAAAAAGGGGCTGCACAGCTGCGCACCATTTTTATACACGTTCAGCTAGAAAGAGATGACAGCACAAATCCTACTGATGCTGATGATTTTGGCAAGACAGGGTTGCTTCAGTGGCTTACAATAATTTAGAGGTGGATGGATGGGTGGGTGGATGGATGCTCCCACCATGAAGCCATATTTTCCCAAACCTTTCTAAAATTAAGATTGAATTGAAGACTTAAGTCAAACATCTGCTAATATGCTGAGATAAACTAGATCATAAATGAAAGGAGAATCAATGCACACCAGAATTTAATGTGACAAATAAAATCTTTTAGAAACAGAAGTCAGAGTATTAATGTGGATGGATGGATGGATGGATGGAAGGAACACAGAAACAAAGAAAATGAAAACATTCAGTAGAACAATTTTTCAGGGACTTGGAACATTTTTCCAGGGACTCCTGGGACTCCCAGCTTGGGAGCCGTGGCTCTTGTCACACCCTCACCTGGTTATTTGTGAGTGTTGTGTCTACTTGGACAGGGGATTTAAAGCCAGGCACCTCTGAACTTGCAGAAACAGCCTTGATTTGCTGCTCGGGGAAAGCTCCTTAGGAAATAACTGCCCTCCTGGTTTTTTTACTCTGATCTCTGTCATGGAACTGCATGAGCATCCAAGAAATGCCTTTGCAGAGTTATGTTGAAAAGGGCAAAGGGAGGATTTTGCTCATGAAGCAGCTGTGGAGTCCTGACAGACACCCCTGATAAATGAAACACCACTCCCAGCAGTTCTGATCTCAGGTGCAGCTGAAGGATTCAAGAGATGGTCAGTTTTCTCCCAGAATAGCACATGAGACACAGCTTTACTCCCTTCCCCACAAACTCTGGCTGAAATCCTCCTCCATCAGCAGGACAGTCCGCATTTCTTTAGGAAGAGAAGTTACTCACATCAGCAGGCTGCCTGCCCCCTAATTCTGAAGGACCACCGTCGGTATTTATTGACGATTTCACTGATCTTGTAGAAGTTCACACATGCAGCTGATAAATGACACGTGGCCTGTGTTTGCTGTGTACCTGAACGCTCCTCAGACTCTGCTGTGCTCCAGCAAATCTCTGCCAGCCAAGGACAGAGAATGAATCTCTGACAGACACAGCGTGCAGGCACTCTCTGCTCTGCCATGTGCTCCCTGGAGAATTTCGTGAGACTTCACATATTTATGGTGCTTGCAGGGGGTTATTTATTGGTTTTGAGGCACAGCTTTCCCTGCAGCCTGCTCAGAGCCATCGGTGCAGTCAGGGAAGGACGGGGAAAGGCAGGGAGGGCACATCTCTGCCACGGCAGCGCCCGCAGAAATGAGATGATAAAAGCAAATGTCGGATTATCTCCCTAATGCTGGATTATCACTCCTAACAAGGTGAATGGCTTGTCTTGGCAATGGTTTCATAAGAATCAAGGATAGTTTTGAAAGGGTCACACTTCAACCGTTGGCTGCTGCAGCTGATGTCAGCAGAGCAAATGTCACACCTCTCCCAAATTCTTCCAGCGTGCCATGAGCCACGGGCTCTGATTGCAGAGTGGCTCGGGGGAAAGGTCTGTCCGGGCTGTCACTCACCCACAGGGTGAGCAATAAAACAATATCACAGCCCAGCATGAGGGCCACTATCTGGAGACTGCATAACTCTACAATAAACGACACAGCTGAGCACTTAGAGCTGTGATAGCCCCGCAAGAGGAGCTGTAAATTGGATGGGACCGTACTCCAGAACTCCACTGAAATCACTGCAGTGAGGGAGCAGTTCTGCAAGCAAGGGGGTATTTCAAGTGGAATTTACAATTATCCAGGGGAGGAAAAAGAAGTCAGCAGCCTCACTCTCTGTGCCACACAACTCAACAGAGAGATTCCATGTAGAGTAGGATCAGTTTTATCCAAGTGGGATTACACACAAGCACAAAAAATAAAACATTCTGTATTCTACATTATATTACAAAGGCAGGCAGTCAATAAATAGGTCAATAAATTATGGGAAGCACAGAAGAGCATGTGTGAAATTGGGTGAAATTTGGTTTAGTTGGTGCATGATAAAGTCTTCGGTGTTCATTCCCATGAAGTGTTGGAGTGATTCTTTCAAAGACCCTTATCACTTCCAGGAAAGATAACTTTCCCTTAAAAGTGTAAAACAGATGCAGGGACAGTGCAGTAGGCTCTGGTACAGGCTAAAAGAATCAACATCACTTACACTTTCCCAAGAATCTGACAAATTTGCAGCTTAGTATAAATAAAGTGACGGGTCTATTGTTTCTCAGCCCTGACACCTCCTTATCACCACGATTTGTTGCAGAAGAGTGGTGGAAACATGGCATGTGACTCCATCTGTGGAGCCTGGGGGGAGGAATACCCCTGTGAATGGACAATTCTGCACTTACAGAGGGGAAGATGCTCGTGTCCCACTGGCACCACGGGCTCTGCTGCTCTGCCTGGCACTGCTGGGCCCTTCCAGTCGGATTGTGTAGCTGCATCTCCTGGGATTTGCTGGCTGGGAACAGGCACTGCTTCTTAGCTGGTAGGAATTTCAAGGACAATTTTACTGGTACTATTCCAAGGGTTCAGGGAATTTATTGCACTTCCTTCTGCCACCTAAAGCTCTGGCCTTGAGAGCAGCAAAGCCAGGGCTGCCTCAGAGTGATTTCATATTAAACCTGCACAGGGGGAATTTCTCACCTTGGCCCTTGCCTGGCACTGCTCCTGGGCCATCTGCTTTCCTAAGAAAGATGGGAAAGGGAAGGGTGCCCTTCTGCTCCAGATGCCAAATCATCCCTGCAGTTGCCTTTGACTGAAACAGGGAAAGAGTGAAGAAAGTGAAGAAAAAAGGAAAACAAACCACCTTCTTTGTGCCTCAGTGATTCAGGAGCTTGAGAATGATCAGGATGTAAGATCTACAGAGATAAATTAAGAAAAAAATGAGCACATAAAGATCTTTATGAAGGATTACAGAACACCAAACAATCTAGGTGTGATTGCCCATCACTCTTGTATCTTTAACAGCTCTGGAAAGCCCTGGAGATGCCAATCAACATTGATAAAGTACAAAAATATGCCTTTATTTCCGTGAATTTGGATGTGCTCTTTTGGCACCAAGAGCCTCCCAAACAATCCAGTGATCAGCTCCATGCCCTGGCAGGAGGAGAGACTCTGATCTGGACAGCGAAGAGCAGCGAGAAGGAAGCAAAGGAACAAAATATACAATCCCTACACGACGTGCCCATTCCCCGTGGCAGGAAACATACAATTATCTGTACAGGCCTCATTAAATAACCTCATTAAATAGGAAATCCCAAATGTACAAATTTACAGACTGAATCATTAAATACTCCCCCCGTGCCCTCCCCGCCTGCGCGTTCCCTCCTACTATCTGCAGCCACACTCTGACACCACCATGCCCTCGTACTTGAACTTGTAGGTGACCACCCCTGCATCCAAGTAGAGGATAGAGATGGGGTCGAGTTTGGTGGGCACGCAGCAGGCCTTGGAGGCTTTCTGGGGGTTCTTCAGGTGAACCAAAGTCTTGACTATGGCGTGCTTGGTTGGCGTGACGTGCTCTGTCAAGGGGTAGGCGCACACCCCGTGGCACTCGTAAGCTTCGTAGCCTGCGGGGGCGATGATCCAGGAGTCCCAGCCAATCTCCTTGAAGTCGATGTAGAGCGGGGTCTTTTTGCAGTAGTTGCCTTTGGCGTTCCTCCGGATGCGGGCAGTGGAGTCGTAAATGATGTTGGAGCGCATCTGGAGCAGCGCCTCCTCCCCGGGCTGGTCGTGGAAATTGCCAACCTCCAGGTTCTCCAGGCCCAGGAACTGCTCGTGGTCGATCATCTCGTTCAGCTCTTCCTTCTCCTCCTTCTTGTCGTTGCTTTGGTCGTCAGAGTACACAACCAACAGGGGCAGGTGCTTGGCCTCGGAGTTGATGTCGATGTCGAGTTTCCCTTCCCCGTTCTGCTCCTCCCCCTCCCTGCTCTCGATGTGAACTTCCAGCCGGTGCGTGGTCAGCCCTGCCCTGCGCCAGCGCCGGATGGCCTCGGTCACCTCGAAGCTCTCCCACTCGCTGCTCGTGCCATAGATGTGCCTGGAGGCCAGGGCCACCAGCTTCCTCTCTTCCCCAGCCCCCACGTGGATGTTCTCCAGCACTTCGAAGATGGTGACCTTCCTGTCCAGCCCTTCGTAGAGCCTCTGGTCCCGCTCCACCAGGGTGTAGAGCCTCAGCTCGGCCATGGTGATCTCCTCGTGGTGAGGGATGGAAACGTTGAACAGCAGCGGGTATTTCCGAGTTCCCGTCACGCCTATAGGGTGGGAATCCAAGTCTGGAAGGGACAAAAATCAAATGTTTTAGGAGAGTCAATGCACCCACAAACACACGCACTGAGGGGCATCCAGCATGCTGGGATTCACCTGGACAGCTCCAGGAAATTGTTTCTTCAGAACTTCCCACAGCTGTACTTGGAAAAAGGGCCAAGGTTATTTCAGATGTGTAAGGACTACAAGGTCCCAGACATGCTACAGATATGGATTTAGTGATCCTCCTTCTAGCTCCAGGGTTTTCAGGGACTTCCTTGACAACTGGAAGGTTTACATATTAAAAATGTGTAGCCTAATAATGACATAGAACTCACTTCTAGGCTGCTGCACAGCAATCACTTAACAAACAAGGGGAAACATTCATTGGTGCCAAGACGAAATGCACAACATATAATCTCTGGGCGACCTGTCAGTCACAGCAACCCCACCACAGGCCCCGTGGGTTTTGGTGAGCAGCAGCACAGGTGAGAGGACAATGTCTGGTGTCACACGGTGTCACCTGGGCTGCACTGCTGCTGTCTGCACAGCAACATTCATTTCTTGCCACAGCGCAGGATCTGCTTGCGAGGGTGCGTTTGCTGCAGATTGGGACAGGAGGGGCTGTAACTATAATTAATGCAAAGGCAAACTGTTTGTGACCTATTACTGCCTTCATCTCTGCCCTCCCCAGTTTTTCTGTGTTTGTAAAAAAATGACTCTGATAAAGCCACAAGGCCTGGCCATGCTCCACCAGTGCACTTAGGCAAGTTGAGAACTTCAGCACGTGACTTGTGCTGTTTCACTCCAGTTTGGTGGCTTTGAGACCTCCCTTTTTCTTTTCTTCTTTTTTTTTTTTTTTTCATTTTGCATTTTCATCTCTTCACAAATAAAAAGAGGGGAGATTCTGCTTCCATTTCCCTGTCAGCTGGTGAAGGTGGGAGCAGGACCCGCTGTGCAGAGCCAGGGAAGGAGCAGACCCTGAGCACCTCTCATACAGCCAGGATGTGACTCTGCTCTCCAGCTGGGAAGTCCACAGGGTGCCAGACTTCTTTCCATTTCCAGTACACATCTGGGAGGGTTGGGAAGGGAGATATGGAGTCCGTAGGAAAAGAAAAATTTTCCTTAAAACTTTGTTTCGAGTATTAAGCACTGATTACAGCCCAATTTACAGCTAAACTGTTATGGTTCACAGGTTAAAACAAAGCTAATTCCAGCCATGCCACCTGTTATATTTCTATAATAAAGGATTTAATGGGTAGCAATGAAACTGGGATTACTGCCAGTTTTCAGCAGGCAGGTGAACAAAACAATTCCATGGCCAGTTTCTCCTTGTCCTCATTGCAAGCAATTAATTTTTCTATCAAAAGAGCTCTGTAGCATGAAAGGAAGGGTTCTTAATTATCCAGACTTTGAGGACACACAAAAACCATGAACTACACAGTCCTTAAACTGCTTGTATCTGTGAAGCTGTGCTCCCATCAGCAGTCTCACTTTGCATCGTGCTGGTTTGGATTGGAAGAGGTGAGAGAAAATCTGAAATGGCAGGAATTTAAGGTGAGTTTTCCCCATTTGCTGCAGAATTTCTGCAAGAGGCACAGCAAGACAGGAGAGAGCTGCCAACACCACCTGGCAAAGGTCAGTCCATGCTATTTCGGTGCTGCAAACCTGAATTTTGCAGGTGGAATGATTTCAGATTTGCATCACTAAACCACAGGGTGTTTTATTCTTTACCATGCTGTACTTGGCAATCTTTGTGCTTATTTGTTAATGGTTTCTTTTTCAAATAGCACAAAGTGAGAACAACGCCTCCCACATGTGTGCCTTCACTCCTGCTGCTGAGCAGAGACAACACAGCAAGGTGAGCTACTGGCCACCACTGCCTGCAACTGGTTTGCCACCAACCCTCCAACAAATTTCTCCACACTGGGGAAAAGGAGATGTGAAGAAACTTTAAATCACAGTGCAGAGTCTCTTCACACCAGAAATCCACTGCTGGTAAAGGGTGCCTGGGCCTGGCAGGAGGTGGGAGCGGAACAGAGCTTTGGGAGTCTCTCCTGGCATCTCACTGCCCTGCAGAACTCAGGTGACTTCCACTCAGCCTCTCCTCACAGCTCATCATTTTGAAACTGCAAACGTGGTGGAAAAAGCAATGATGTCTTTAACCTCATTAATTAAACGAACAGAGGGGGAGAGAAGCCCCATGGCAGCTTGAACAGCCACATGTGCCCCATGGCAATTGAACATGAATCAAAGCACTTGCTTTTGCCATGTGGATTAATGGATACTTGGAATTGTTTAGCTGAAAAATGTTTCTAGTATTGGCAAATTATTGAATATTAGTGCTGAAGCCTTAGCTTGTCCTTGTTGAACTGAGGGGAATGTGGAAGGAAAAACAGAGGAAAGAAGAGAGGGAAATGGCACAAAGGCATTTGCTGAGTTGGTTGGAGCAGGGGGTAAATAATGCCAAGGTAATGTCTTTGATCCCTGTGTCAGCCATTCACTTGGGAGTTGGATTTGATGATCCTTTTGCGTCCCTTTCAACTCACAGTATTCTGTGATTCTGTAATAACTAGGTTTCTTCAGGTTTTGTTTGTTTTTATCAGGATATAGTCTGGTACTCCAAGGTAAAACCTTTTGGTTATCCAAAATTCCTCTTCACTTACTTTTGTGTATTTTCTGGACTGTGCATCAATGCCAAAGGAGGAAAACTTTATAAATGCCATGGGGATCAACAGTGAGAAGGCATTAACAGGAAGCTGTACCTGGTTAAGCTCATAATTTAAAAATATTTCACTTGAAAATACACTTTGAACAGTGTGTAAAAATGAGTCTTGCCTTAAATTCAAATATTACTTAAGGTATCCATTTAAAAAACCAATCAGCTGATTACAAATGATATTTGTCACTATGGGGATAAAGAAATTTATGAACTGAAATTACACTTGGTGCTGCCCCAATGTTAAAGACACACCTTCCCCCAAATCCCTACAGTCTCCAGAGCAAAGGACAAAGAAATCTCCTGCCAGAGCTGGGCAGCCCTGACACAGCTGCTGATTTCCGAGGCCATCCTCACCGAAGGCCTTTCCCCCAGCACACTCCATGCTCTGTACCTCTCAGGACATTTCCCACTGGCTCTAAGGCCGCTCCTTTCTATCCATCCTCCCAGAGGTGAGCAGCTCTTACCTTCATTTTTGAAGCTCCTGATGATGTTTGCAGAAGGCATCGATGTCCTGTCTGTGGCAAACCTGTTGTACAGCTCTAGCATGTACTCTGGCGGGTCCACCTTGGCCGACTCGTGCAGAGGGATGTCGGAGAGGTTCAATGTCTTCAAGAACTCATTTTTCATGTTCTGGAGCAGCGTGTTGAAATCAACCCCATCTTGCTCGGAGAGGATCTCATCAAAAAGAGGCACGTCTTCCTCCAGGGAAGAGTGCTCCAGGCTCAGGATGGGACTGCAGGCTGCAAGGTGAACCAGGAGGGAGAGGACAGCCCAGAGCTGGAGGATGACAGAATCCATGGCTTCGCCCGAGCCTCCAACCGCGCTCAACGAGCTCTGGCTCTGGTGCGGGCTCGGTGGCGGTTTTATCCGCTGGGCTGTGTCACACAGGGATGACAAGTTTGGAAGCTCTTGTCTTGAAACTTGTGATCCGTCCTGTCTGTCTCCCCTTCCCCCTCCCCAAAACCAGGTCTCGGTAATTGGATCTCGCTCTCCTCTATGGCCGCCTTGCCTCTCTTATCTCGGCCAGTGGAAGCTGCTCACCAGATTTGTTGCTATCTCGCCATCCCCTCTCCCTTAATGAGCGTTTTGTAAACATTCTGCGCGGGACTCTCAGAGATAGGACAAGTTTCTCCTCGGAGAGGAGCTGCCCTTCCTTTCTCCCTCCCGGTAGCTGACTTTGCCCGCTGTACGTGAACCGTTTCCATCCGCGCGGGTTTCAGGCGAGCACGAGAATCCCACAGAGCCTCTCTCCAAATGCACCCATTTCACACCAAGGGCAAACCACAGCTCCCTCTGCCCTTTTCAAAGCTATTTTAGAGTCAGGTCTTTACATTAAGAAGGAATTTCTTTGGGAAAAATTCTGTTCTTCTGCAAAGCTTGGGAGAAGAGCTTTGGTGCTACCACCAGGCCCTGGATGCAGAGGAGAAGAGCTCAGGGTGAGCAAGGAGAATCACATCCCCCGAGGAGCAGGGAGCTGGACTTGGTGATCCTCCTGGGTCACTTCAACTTGAGGTACTCCATGATTCCATGACTGGAGTATTTGCAAACGACTCAGAAAATCTTTATTTCATTCATCTTTCATATGTGACTTGGCAAATCACAGTTATACTTGCCTTAGTCACAGCACTGCTAAATAAAAAATTATTGAAAACACACAAAGGCCAACAGGTGACTGATTTCAGGTTCTCACCAATTCAAACAGCTCAGGGATACAGCTGGAGAATACAGAAATGACTTTGCAAAAACACGTGCTAAAATTAGTGGTGCTTTTTGCATTAGAGTGAAAATTCAACACAAAGTGAGTAGTGTGCAGGCAAAAATTGGTCTGGTTCATAGATAACAAACAACGTCCACTTCAATCTCCCTGCTCCCCACAGACTTTCCGAAGTGCTCTCGTTTTGGCAGCGTGGCCACAGCTCAGCGCCTGCCCCCGAGGGGTTCAGCACTCAAGATAAAGAGGCATTTCTGCTCGTGCTGCAGAGCTTTTCCTTGCAAGCACTAAGAACTTTACCCAAGGACTAAACCACTGACCTGCTGGGTTTTCTGGACTCTGCTTTTTGTCTGAGCACATCCATTGACACGCTGCCCCATCTCTGCAATTTTCTTCCTTTGTCATTTACCCAAACCTATCACAAACAGCCACAACAATGAGAGCCATGCTTAAGGCATGCCTGTTTCAAATTAATCCTCCATGTTTTTATTTAAATATCAATATTTTTGTGAAAATCAAGTGCAGTGTGGCTGTCACAGAGGCAGACACTGACATGGCATTTTAAACTCGTTTTATTCAACTTTTCTTCTTCTGAATGTGGGAAACCTGATGCCATTTCCCACCCTGCAGGTATGACTGTGTAAAGCAAAAATCAGTGTGAGCACAGGGATCTCACACCCATTTCCTCACACACAAGTGTCTTCTTGCCTCAGTGGCTCATTAGGAGCACAGTTCCTGCTCAGACATTCCAAGTATTTTTGCATTTCTGCTCTGGTTTTGATAAGCCCTTGAACAATGGCAGAGTGCAGGGGTTGTACACAAAGCAGCTTGTGCTGGGTTTCCTGACTTAGTCCATGTAGACCCTGCTGGGGATTTGCCAGATGAGGGATACCCAGAGAGCACATATGGTATAAAAGCAGCTTCCTGTTTTCTTAAGCTGCAGGCTGATGATTTTAACACACTGATAATTATTTTTTTCTGAATTGAATTGTGTAACAGAAGGGCTTTATTTCATGTCACTGAAATGGTTTGTCCTTTTTCCCCCTGATAAGCACTTCAACTTACCCACACAAGAATCCTAGAAAGAAGTTGCTTTCCAAAAAATCAGTGCTCAGATCAGTCAGTGCTCAGATTTTTCCGAGGGAACATTGATAAGCATCCCAGCTGAACCATGATTCAATCTGCAGCACCAAGGACCCCACTGCATCAGCAGCAGGTGCTCATTGGGCAGCCTGGGTTGCAGAGAGGTCACAGAAAGGTCCCTTGGCCAAGGGATGCACAAGATCCTGAGGCTGGGATGCCTCTCTGGCAAGAAGGAATGTGAAGTGGTTTTGAAGCATCTTCACCCTTCCTTAGCCTGTTTTTTGGGAGGGAACACTTGCCCTCAGCCAGAGGCTCGGAGCAGCCTTGGAGGGGGAACCTTTCCCGGGAGAAGGTGACCACTGTTTGCTTCAGTGCCCTGGGCTTTCTGGGCATGAATTGTTCCCCAGGGGATAAAAAGTCTGCCTGTGTAAAAATGTTTCTCTGGTTCTTTTTTTTTTTTTTTTTTATTATTATTTTTTCAGGAATTTTGGGTCAAGGCTGCTCTCTAATCAGGGACCTCAGTCACACCACTGCAGGGAAGCAGCAGAGGGATGCAAACGTGCTGTAGCAACCCAGCATGTGATTTGAGGTTTTCCAAAATACAGGGATGGAATTATTGCAAAAATGCCCCACAAAGGTTCCTGTCAGGAGATAACTGTGGCGTGAGGTAACTGCTGGGTGTGAGATGGGAGATAAAGAGGAGTGTGACACTGACAGTGTGATGAGCTTGCAGTGGAATAACTAAAATTAGTTTCCATTCCTGCATCTGCCCAAGTCCTTATTCCTGTATGCCTTGGTTCATGGCTGCTCTGGATTCCCTGTCCATAAATGGGCTCTTCCCAGGGGCTCAATTCCCATTTCAGATGGCACTGGAAAATGAAAGGATGGTATTTATTGAAAGGGTGGGTGGGGGGTGGGAAACATGGCAGTGCATTATAGCCGGTGTGATCAAGAAAAACAATCAGGGAGAAGAAGGAAAGGGAGAAGGCTGGGCAACCTCAAGGACAGGGAATTCCTAAAACTGAGGGACAGCAGCTCCTGACCAGGGAATTCCTTAACCTGTGTGAGAGCAGCTCCTGACCCAGGGAATTCCTGAAACTGAGGGGCAGCAGCTCCTGACCCAGGGAATTTCTTAATTTGTGTGAGAGCAGCTCCTGACTGAGGGAATTCCTTAACCTGGGTGAGAGCAGCTCCTGACCCAGGGAATTCCTTAACCTGAGTGCCACCAGCTCCTCCTGACCTGGAGCACCACTGGCTTCATGTGGGGAGCCCAGGGCTCCTCTCCCTCAGCCATTCCCAGGCGAGTGAGAAGGATGGGGACTCCACAAACCAGCAGGACACACAAACTACCTGCAGTGTCTCTGGAAATTCCCTTTTCCTCCTCCTTCCATCCTGCTGGGGTGGCAGAAGCTCCAGGGCAGGACTCCATCCCCGTGCATTTGCTCCAGAGCAACCTGGGCTGGTCGCGGGTCAGCAGCCACGTGGCAGCACAGGGAAGTGAGGAGAAGCTGTGAGAAGCCAGTGCAAAGCCTGAGGAACTGAAACAGAAAGAAAAGAGCTGGAAAAAGTAGCTGGACATGGCCTTGATGTCAGTGTCCTGTCAGTCACGTGCAGCAAAGGCCCTACAAGCTCCTCCAGCAGATATTTGGAGGAGATGCCATGATTGGCTTTGCACTCAACTGGGAAATCTGTAGCAAGTTCTCTGCCCAGCCCATTTAAATGATATAATTTATCATTATGTCATTTACAGGATGAGAAATGCCTCAAGATCACTTGATTTGTCTCCCTTCCAGTGAGCTTGGTACATGCCTTGGTAAATATGGATGCAGTCTCTAATAACATTAAAAAATTAGTACCTGTTATGGTCACACAATTTATCCATTCAGTCCCCAGTTAATTGAAACCTGGTGAGACATGGTCAAAAATAAATCAATTCCTATTGGATATCTTCACACAGAGAGTGAGAGCAGTGCTAATGAACAGAGAGGAGCTGCTGTTTAATCCCAGGGGTTTGGACTCTGCAGGCTTCTTATCACACTCCCTTCACAGAACAGTTTGACAGAAAAAGGTCAAGAGAAAGTTTTAATTTTACATTTTTGAAATTCTTTCTCTCATCACGCAGTTGTTTTGTCGTGCTTTGGTATTCATGTGGGTGTTAAACTTCAGGAAACTCTCTGAGCAGCTCAGTGACACTGACAAAAACAAGATTGTGGAACAAAACCTTTCAGAAGCCTCCTGGACTTGTCCCCTGTCCTTGTCAGCTCCATGTCCAAACAGGTTTTTTGAGGGATACCATTCTCTTCCTTAATCATTTAAAAGCTTTCACAACCCTAAATGAACAAAGTTCCTGGAAATAATCACTAAATTTTGTCCTTGGGTTTGAGAACTGAGGAGTCCTAGTCTTCAACAATGGGGAAAAAAACAGACTCAGGTCAGCAGAAATTATTTTGCTGACAATTTTGATTAATAACATGGAATTATTAAACTGACAAGTTGAGTGTTAAGCAGAGATGGAATATTTTCTGTCAGTGTTAGCTGATATCTCAGCATGAGATATTAAGGACTAAGTCAACAGCTTGTAATCACATCAGCAAAACATGAGGAAAAATTAGACAAGCATGTCTAATATTTGCTCTGTTTATTTAATGTTAGGGTTGGAATCAGAAAGGGAAAGCAAATTGTACATAGCAGCAGAGAAGACTGATTCATTAAAAAATACCTTTTTAAGTTTAGCCTTAAAAATTCAAAGATGAAAGTGTACTATATTCTACTTTTTGTAACTCAATGACTGGAATTATACTGAGTAAATTAAGGTTGTCAGAGGCCTCTCTCTGCTTTGATTGCCATGCAGCTGAATATCATATTTTGTCTTTTCCATCCTTTTGTTTAAGACAAATTGGCTCAAACACCTCACTAATTTTGACTTCATTTGCAGCAAAAGTTACAAATATGTTCTGCTCCCCTTGGCTTGGTTTCTCCAAATTTTGGCTGGGATGCTCAGAGTAGCTGTGCTTTGGTCAGCTGAGGTCCCCTTGAGTAGGTCTGAATCACCATCCTCTCCTGGCACACACCCTCAGAAAATTAAATAAAGTGGGAACTGCCTCTTGGTGAGCTGCAAAAAAGGGCAGAGAAAAGACTGGCAGGAGTGAGAGACACACAAACCCAGCAGAGGATGTGGCCATGCAAAGGCAGTGGCTCATTATATAATAGAATATAAAAAAGTATATAAATATATTTATATACTTAAAAATTATATTATATATTATATTTATATTTTAATATTTTATAAAATATCTAAATATATTAGAGAGAAAAATTAAAATAATTAAGAAATCAAAAAATGGTTCAGTTAATCACCAAATGGGGCACAATTACAAGTGAAAATAAACATCCCACTGGATTGGAAACCTGAAAGAATGAATTCCAGTGCTTTGTATCCCAACTCAGTTTTTCCTTCCTGGGGAGCAGGGTGACAGGGTTAAATCCGTTTGATTTTTGAGCCGCGGTTGGCTCGCAGTCGGTGTTTTTAGCAGCACATCTCACTGTCCGGTCCCGACTGCCGAGGCTGCTGTCACCATTTGCCATCTAGTGGACAGTGGAAATCTCCCTCCGTGCTTGCCTCCAGCAGTAAGAAATAAATGCACCAGGACTGGGGTGTGTTCCTTGGAAATCTGGCCTGCCTCACAGGCCAAGATGTTCTCTTATTTTAAATAAGCAGTGGTGCAAGCTCACCTGTGATGATTTATGAGCTGAGTGTTTAAAATCGGGCACCTCGACTGAAGCTGGAGTGAGGAATTTGTCCTCTTTTCCTCTCACACGTGGATCTTGCTGTGTTTGACCACAGCAATTTGCGGTGGTTACAGACAAACACTCCAGGGGCAGATTTTGGTCTTCCAAAATGGATGATTTTCCCCCCCTCTCCTTATTGTGCATCGTTAGCACAAAAAAAAATGGTGAGAAGACTCAGCAGGTGAAGAAACCTGTTCACACCTTCGGCCTGCCCAGACCACACAATTTGTATTTAATTTAGCAGGCTGACTCCTCTGTCTGGCTTAATTTTTCCCTGCTAGTGGGAATTCATCCTATAAGGGAGAAAATGTTAATAACTGTCCCTTTTCATCACTCAGTGTAAACTGGAAAATTTGTTTTGTCCTGTCAGACAAGATACATGAAAATCTGCCATTCCTCCTAATTTAAGTCCTGTATTACAAGGTATTTCTCAAGAGGGTAGGAGTTTCCATATTCATCTCTGGGTTTGAAAGGATCACCAGTGATGTAGTTGTCATACCTTGACCTTGGTAAATTGTCCTGTACACTGGGAAATTTGGGAGGTGGGAGGTTCTCAGGGGAATGGGCTCAGTGCTAGAAGCAGCTTGGATTGATGTGCAGCACAGGTGACTGGAAAATTCGATGTCCTTGGCAGTGAGGGACCACAGAGGTTCCCTGCCCGTGGGGATCAGGAGGGCTGGGCTGCAGAGAGGTGGAGATGTGGCCAGAGTGGGCTAATCCTGCCTGGCCTGGATGCCTGACGTGCTTCAGCTGTCAGTGGCATCCAGCCATACCATGGCCTGGATTCCAGGAATGCCTTCAAACACCTCTCAGGCTTTTTAAAAAAAAGTTGGGGGCAAACAATCAGCATTATCTTGATATTCCAGCCAGGAATAAATATGGTTTTAGTTTACAGAAGCTGCCAGTGCACACACACACACAGATACTCACTGAGGCACACCCAGACACTCCCACTGAGCTCTCTAGTGTGTCCCTTCCAGCTCAGAATAATCTGTGATCTGGGATCTTCCACTTCAAATAAATTCTCTACTTTTTCAGAACAAGCCTGGCTGGCAAGGTCAGGTAATGGGATAATGTGATAGATAGAGTTAGATAATAACCAGAATGTGCTATTCCTTTGGTGGAGAGGAGCTCTTGGGAACATCAGGTAACTTTCAAGATACTGAATCTCATCCTGACGCTGTCTCACTCTCTAGGCTCTTCCAGCCAATGTGTATTTAGGATCCAAGCTCGTGCCCTGGCTCCTTTTTCATTTTGGGGACAGCTCTGGGTCCCAGAGCCAGCGGGGCAGCCCTGCCCCTCTCCTGCTGCAGATTCCAGGGGCTGTGCTGTCCTCCAGGTGTTCCATTTGTGCTCAGCGCCAAGGAGCTCCACCTTATCCACCTGCACGTTGACCTTGGGCAGTAATTGGGACGAGCTGTGGGCTTTGTGCACTGAAACACAACTCCACCATTGTTCCTGGGGCTGGCTGCTGGGCTGTGGGTGCCTCCCATGGAAATCACTGGGAATTTTCCATCCATTCCCCTGGAAAACCTCACAGTGCAAAAAGAAGCACAATGCAAAAAGAACCTCTAGCAGCAAACGACCCACCAAGACACTGGTACCTAACGAGCTCCAGGACAGCAGATCTCTCACATCAGGCAGAGCACCTCTAAGTTCAGTGATTCGCAGAATGAAAGGTTTAATGTGTTAATACTTTCAGCTTTTGGCCCCTCATGGCAAGAAGGGCATTGAGAGGATGGAGCATGTCTGGAGACAGGAATGGAGCTGGGAAGGGGCTGGAGCCCCAGGAGCAGCTCAGGGAGCTGGAAAGGGGCTCAGCCTGGAGAAAAGGGAGATCAGGAGGGATCTTCTGGTTCTGCACAACCCCTGACAGGAGGGGACAGCCGGGGGGTTGGGCTCTGCTCCAGGAAACAGGGATAGGAGGAGAGGGAATGGCCTCAGGCTGGGCCAGGGGAGGCTCAGGGTGGATTTTGGGGAAAGTTCTCCATGTGAGGGTTGTAAAGCTCTGGCACAGCTGCCCAGGGCAGTGCTGGAGTCCCCATCCCTGGAGGTGTTCAAAAAACATATGGCTGTGGCACGTGGAGATGTGGTTTGATGATGACCATGGTGGTGGTGGGTTGATGGTTGAAACTGATGACCTTAAAGGCTTTTTCCTACCTTAACAACTCCATGATTCTGAGATTTCCTTCACACCATGAGCATTCAGAGCTGAGAGAGGGTGTATTTAAAGGCTGACATTTTCAGACTACAGTCACTTCAGGGATATTTTTTACCTGAAGATCCCTGATCTTCAGGGATATTTTTTACCTGTTGCTGATTTTTACCTCTTTGCTGTTCCCTCTCGTCCAGTTGTAATATCAAGCACCTGCAAGATAAGAAAAAACGATTAATTATAATCCAAGACAGGTCCATAAAGCTTATTATAAACTGTGGCCTAGTCAACAAAGAAAGAAATGGCAGGAAATAGCAAGGGCAAATACAGTATCAATAAATAAAACATCAAACTTCTTTCTCCTGCCTAAAAGTCCTTTTCTCTGGTTTGTTCAGAGCTGGCTGTACATTCCTGTTTGCCCTGTGATAGTTATTTTAAATAAAGAATACATTTCTTTTGCTCTGCAGCCTTTTCTAGCATGATCTTTGTGGTTGTTGGTGATACCAACAGAGGGCTGTGAATTCTGAGGTGCAGTTTGGGAACAGAGGGAAAACTTTTCCAGATTTGCCCCTGAGGTGCTGCGTCCAGAAGTTTCCCATGAGCTGGACACCTGGACATTGGAGGGGCTGGGAGAGCAGATGAAGAACTGAAGCTTCATTGACCAAACAACAAACGCAGAGGTAAAAATACAAACTTAATATATAAAAAATATAATCCTCACAGGCCTGACTGATACCGTGAGACTACAAACTAAAATTTAAATCTAGAAACAATATTCCTCCATTTGTGAGGAAGGCCAAGAACACTACCTCCCTAGCTCAGAATTAAATGGCAGATAATGAGGTATTGAGGCTGGTTTCAGGGTCCACAGAACATAGAAAAACTATTCCTGGACTTTATTAACAAAGTTTGACCCTCCAGAAAATTTTTTTGCACCACCAAGAACCTGCAGCCTGCCATGAATACAATTAATCTAAAAGAACAGCTTCACCATGTGATGAAATGCTCTTTTATTAAATAGCAGATGGTTTGACCAGGACTGCAGACCTGGGGCCATTTTCCTCCAAAGGAATGGAGGCAGCCACTCAAGGCTCCAATAAACAGGAAACATTGAGTCTTCATCCCCAAAACAAACAGGAGGGAAGGCTGTGAGAGTTCAGCCATTCCCTGGGATCTGCCCCAGAGCAGGGAGGTGGCCCCAGCACTGCCCCATCCTGGATTTCCAGCAGCTCTTGACACAAAGGCCTCTCCAAGGCACTGGGACACTCAGCAAGTGCTCACAGCTCTTTGTGCCCTGCCACTGTGTGAAAGGAAAACTTTATTCCAAGGCACTTTTAGGGCTGGGACAGTGTCCTCTGCCCAGGCTTGGAAAATCTCTCTGACCCACTGCACTCCTTCAAACTGCAAACTTCAAACTCCTTCAAGCTGCTGCAAATTTCCACTGGCCCTGCAGGGCTCCAGCTGCTTTGCAAAGGGGGTAACGTGGATCTCCTCCCCCCTTTAACTTTATTTACCTGCTTGCTCTAGCCCCCAGCCATCCTACACAAGGTGAGCCAACACCTGCATACTGATGCCAAAGTGAAGTTCTGCACTGGAGGAATCTATTCTGTGTCTGTTTCTTCTCTTTATGAAGCACAAACCAATGCCTGGGCCATGCTGCAGCCCCAGCACAGGCATGGACCAAGGGGGAAATTTCTCTTTTCTGAAGGGCTACTTACAAGGCCCACTGTCACTGCATTCTGATTTTGGGTAGATGAAACAGACAGAGCATTCTATTTATTTATTTATATTTATTCTTTAATTTATTCAAGCATTATATTTATTTGTGTGTCATAGGCTTGTTATGCATCAAAGCTTTGGACAGGCAGGTTGAGCCTCGTACCCGAGTTCTGTTCCAGCTGGAGAACATGGTTACCACTACTAAAACATGCAAAAAGGCATTTCCTTGCAACAGAAATGTCAATATTCAGTTGCAATGAGTTCTTCACAGATTTTAAGGCCCAAAATGCTTGGAATGCCGGCACTGGCACAGCCATCAGCATCTGTTGGTGCTAAAAAATCCCAAGAAAATGAAGATAGTATCAGTACCAGTATTTATATCAGTATATATCTCAGTATCAGCATCTCCTTACCAGATGAGATCCCTGTATCCAGCTAGGAAAAGTCTTAAATAGACAAATCTCAATCCCCAATTATGGCCCTATTCAAGGCTTCTGTTTGTCTCAAAACTGTGCAGAACATTTGTGGTGCAACTCAAGGGGCAGAAATGTCTGCACAGCTCCAGGGTACCAGGAGGATTTGGGGTCAAAGGGGAGGAAGGTGCCCTGGGGCAGAGGCACCTGAGACTTACGTTCAGTGGCCACCAGCTCGTAGAGAGGCAGCCCCGTGCAGAGATTTTCAATGTGTTTCCCATAGAGAATCCAGTCTCTAAAATGCCCCAGCCTGGAAGTGCCAGGTTGGAACTGGGCCCACACGTTATTCGGAGAGTATACATCCCTCATGGTCTGAGAAGAAAAGTTAAACACCATCAGCATTGTAACTTTAGCTTTACTCTACTGGGACACCCTTTGAGAAGGCTCCCAACCCCAAAATCACCTTCCTTTGCCTCACAAAAGAACATTAGATAAAGAAGCTTCATGCTTTTAAAATAAAAAAAAAAAAAATCAATGTATTCAGCAACAAAATTCGCTAGGTATTAATTATGCCAACACAGCAAGACTGAGCTTTATTGCTGCCATAATAACTTATATTATTGGCAGCAAGTTTTGCTGTAAATGTCCTGCTGGGCTGACACAAAATGGGCCAGAACTCCAGTTCACCTCCAGGCAACACTTCCAGTCTCCTTCTGAAACCTCAGCCTTAATAAGAAAGTCAAAATCTGGTCAAAGTAAATTGATCTCTACTTTCTGTTCTGAAAAAAAAAAAAAAATTCAAGCAATGTCAAGGTCAAAATTTCAGCAGGACAACGAATAAAGGGAAAGTTTGCCTGAACTTATATTGTGATCACCTCAAAATGGCCAAAGGACATCAGTTCCAAGGACAGGGGATTGTACAGCTCAAGACACTCGACCACCCCCCATAAAACTGCAGGGGCCACAGTGGTTTGTTATCTTAAAAGAATGTTTGCATGCTATTCCTTCAAGCTGTGTCTTGTCAGAACAGCTCCATCATTGCTAAGACAGCACAAGTCATTCCTGAGCTGCTTTAGGGTGGCAGAGTGGAGGGTCCCCCTCACATCACACTGCTCCCACCCCTTCCTTGCCAGCAGCAAGGGTTCCCCACAAAGTCACCTGTCTCTCAAAAGCCAGACGTCCAATCTCTTCCAGGTCTGGGATAACATCCTTCTCTATTTTCATGATAAAGCAGGCATTTCGTGAAAACAGCTTGGTGGCAATATAGCCCTGTGATGGAAAGAATTGAGGTAAACCATTAGAAATGCTGACATTAGTTGGTGCTCTCTGCTCTTTGGGGCAATCTGGAAGGAGCAGCAAGTGGCTGCAGAGGCTGCTGCTGTGGAATGAGTGCATTTTCTTCCTCTCCTTTGGGGAATGGAGCCAGCCTGTCCTGGTTCCTGTCCCTGAGACTGGAAACATCATTTCTGACAGATTTCTGCTGCCCATGAGTGCTGGCAGCCCTATCCTCACCTCCAGCCCCACTGAGGTCAGGGACCTTCTTCACTTCTAGGACCTGCCATCACAAGTTTCATTAAACTGCCCCATGGTATAGGTGAAGAAAGGAAGAAAGGTGCTGGGAGTCCTCAAAGAAACAGTGTTCAGGGACAAGATGTGGTGAGAATACACTAAAATAATTTCTGATTTTAAAAACTTCCTCAGGGGTCAATTGGAGGCGGATCCTTGGATTTACTCACATGTGTGTAGTCAAAAATGGTGTCAGAGGAGTACACGCCAGAGCGGACGTGGACGTCGACGATGTGCTCCTCGCTGTGGATGGTCATGGTCCCAGTGACATAGTTGCTGATGGGATCTCGCAGGGTAAAGGTCTTTGGTAAAAAGCACAAAATCATTGTTCATCACCTGGCTTCCATCTTTAGCAGGGGTTGCCCCGATGCTTTCTGCTTTGGGTAAATACCGAATCCCTTAGGAACCCCGGGTTCTTGGGATTTGGTATTTACTGCACCCTGGAGCAGTCTGAGGAGGCTCCTGAGCTGGAGGTCAGTTATAAAACAGGCCCTCCTGCAGCCTGGGGAAAACCTGCATGGGACATCCCAGTCAGTCTGGGCAGCAGGGACTGGCAGGAGACTGCTCCAGGCTCCAAATGTTTGATTGAGCTAAGGGGACCTCTGTCCCCTGGCTTGTTACTTTGCACCTGTACAGAACCTCTGGCACTTGACAATAAGTAACTTGTTTGTTTTGGTTTCATCTGTGGTTTTCTTCCTACTCTGTGGTGCCCAGGGACCCAGCCCATTTTAAACACTCATGTGCAGGACAAGGCTCATCACTCTACTCACGTTCAAACCAGAAGTCTGAGCCCAAAAGACTCCCAGGCAAATGAGGACTGCAGCCTGTAAAAGGAATCAGAATTCTCACTCGTCAGAAACACCAGGCAGTGCCATAAAAATCCCAGTCCGTGAACTGAGGGAAGGACCGGGAGCATCAGTTTGAAAAATCATCCATTTAGCATGTATGTTAGTGCAAATAACTACAGTTCCTCATTGTAAAGTTTTTGCTATCAGGGTCTCCTTTGCCTGTAACTGAAAAAGCAGAATAACTTAACCATGGCATTTATGCAGTTTTCAGAAGTCCCTCCTTGATGCTATAACCAAACTCCCTTCTGAACTGCAACCAATTCTGCATTCTTTGCTCAAATGAGGCTTCCACTGACCTTGCTGACCCAAGAAATGCAAGTTCTCCTCCTTCCACCCAAAGAAACAACACAGATCATATTATTGTACCACTGTATTGGGCCACTTACTTGAGCATCTTCTTCTCTATCCTTTTGTTTTTAAAAGTGAGAACTTACAGTATTAAAAATTCAACAGAAATGGAGATACTCACAAATCTCTTCATTTTTCTTTCAGATGAAAACAAGAGGCTGCAGAAGGTAAGACGGCAAGGAAGTCCCAGAGACCTTCAACTTTTATATCTTGCAGGAGGTGTGGGAAACACTTGACAGAACTTTCCTTCATGACTCGAACAAGTCCATATCTACATGTCGTAAGCCTCCTATCTGAATTTTGGGTTGGCACAGATAACCTGACCCAGATATATTTAAAGCACTCAGTAAGTCTCAGTAAATCAATCACTCTGCAAATGGCCATTATTCACTGGTTTAAACTTTAGTATTGCTGGTTCTATTTTTTAAAGTATTTAACAGGATATTGTCCAGAATGAAATGACACTGGGAATAACACTGCTATTTATTCACACAAACTGCATTTTGTGTTCTGAAACACAATCCCTAACAGCCTGATTGATAGTCTGCAGAGAAATGCTGGGAAGAAACACGTGTGCCATGGTGGCCTCCTTGTCAGCCAACAAACAGACCAATTCTTCAGCCATTTCTGTCACTGAAAATATTGGAGGGAGCCCTGGCCACCTGACAGTGAGTGGCATCCCTGTCCATGGCAGGGGGCTGGAGCTGGATGATCTTTAAGGCCCCTTCCAACCCAAACCATTGTGGGACTCCGTGAGTCCATTCCATTCTCGACAAGAAGTGCTGCTCATTTCTGATCAGTTACCACCACGGGCAGAGCACATGAACTGAAATGAGTGACAGAGCTGGGGACAACAGCTGTGCCTCACTGGGGCACTTCTGGCCTGCTCAGCACACCAGGGAGTGACAGGAAAACCCAGAGGCCCCATGGTGCACACCAGGTCACAAACAAAAGGAGCAGGATGGGGATTCCCCCTTTGAATCCCCACTGATTGCTGCATTTTGGGAGGATGCCAACGACCAGGAGAACGTTCTCTGGTGTTCCCAGGTGACTGCCACCTTGCCTGGACTCCTCCTCATCCGCTATCCCACACCAGCCAGTGCTGGCACCTGCATGAATCACACTCCGCTTCCTGCTTGAAGGTCATAATCAAGGCTGGTTCCCTCCCAATAAAACAAGAACTCAAACTAACAGCAAACACATTTCTGTAATTTCTCTTATCAGAAAAAAGGAGAAGGAGATTGTACAGAAATATCTCTCAGCAAAAAGGCCTCAATGGAAAAAGAAAAAAGGAAATTGCACACATTTGCTTTATGCCACCTAAGTCCACATGAGAAAAGGTTATCTCAAGAGTAACAATGCTGTGCTGCTAAGCAATATATCAGAAAACAAATAAACAGATACCACATTCTGCTAAACCCAGTTAAATTAATTAGGCTGCAGTCCTCTTGAAAGCTGGCTCTGTCCCTTTTTCTCAACAGAACCTTTATTTTGAAGATTACTGGTATGTCAGAAAGAGTAGATTTCGACAGTCAAGTATTTCAAGCAGGACTCTAACAGGGAACAGGAACACCCCTGAAATCAGCAGGCATGTGCTTGAACCCAAGCACCACAGTGCTAGAGGCACCCTCCAATAGGAAGCAGCTGAAGGAAGAAGCTGCCTAAGAAGGGTTTAAACCCTTCTAATTTCACCTTGGCCAGTCCTCAGGCAGAATGAGGCTCAACTTATGAGTCAGAATCCCTCGGTGCACCTTGCTACCACAAATTTATGGTCCCTTTCGTAAACAGCCCTTAGTCCATAATCAGATGTGACTCTCCTGAAGAGGCTCTGTGAAGATTCAGGACCATGTCTGACAAGCAGAAAGTTAACATTTTTAACATAGCACGAATACCACCCCCTTGGTTTGGGTGGTGCTTTTGGTCAGAGGCACAACTTCTGTCTGAGTCCTTTGCCACATTGGCACAAAGCATCACTGCAAGTTTGCTAGGAATCTGTGCTCTGCTTCAGCTTTTAATTTCTTTTTTAATTTAAAAGTGACTGTTCAATACACTGAGCTTACCATGACCACTTTGCTCTCACCTCCCTGTATGCCATGAATTCAATCAGGCAGGTATCAAAGCCTCCTCTTATCAGAGCACTTCCCCAGGAAACTCGTCATGCTTCTGTGAACACAGGGCACCTGCCAATAAGGCAAACCCATTTTCAGATTTAACTTTGGGATATTATGTATAAAAAGTAAGAGTACACATCAATTAGCAGGAGAGCTGGCCTGGCCTGCCATCCAAATGAAGTTCTCTGTAAGTATACCTATTGCTTTCTCATAAAACTCTTGAGGCTGGGCAGCTTTTAAGTGGTTTTGAGCTTTTCTTGGCACTGAGAGAACTCTTAGTGATTTCTGACAAAGTGAAAATGCCAAAGGGGTGGGGACTACAGGGGAGAAATCTCCCTTTTGGCAGGGATGGAACTCTACATGCTCAAATATGAAAGAGAAGTGCTGTGTTCCAGGGGTGACACACACTCGTGACACGTCCACAGGACAATATTCTCTCCTTCACCACTCAGAGGCAAATCAACAGTCTCAGCAAGTCACATAAAGTTAGGGCTCAGCTGTTTGCTGAGAGTGTGACACGAGAGACTCCAAGTGCAGGATGGTGACACTGAGGTATTTACAGCAGCCTGAGACTGGTGCAGAAAAAATTCCCAAGCCTTACTTTTAAATACTCTGAGTCAGACTCGGACCATTTTCATCAAAATCCTCCTTTGAAGGAGATAAAATCTAGGACCGATTCAATATTCATAGGATTTTCTTCAAAGAAAATATTTCAGAGCACATTTTTTCCAATAAGTTACTGAACTGGGCTGGGCAAGTTTTAGAACCCCCTGTGTTTGAATGACCTTCTTGCCTGGGCAAGGTGCGCTGCTGGGGCTAAGAGCTATTTCTATGCATGTGTTCTGTGAACTCATCAACAAATAATTCTGCATATTTCAATCCTCTTCAGCTGGACCCCACTGCAGAAAGGTGCTGAGTCTGTACACAAAGTAAACAGGAAGTCAAAATTATTTTAAGACAGAAAATAATTTGATGCAAGATAAGCAGCATGATCTTCAGGTGTTTTGAATCCCAAATGTTCATTTCAGATTGTGATTGCTTCTCTCTTTGGAGTTTTCCTGGCTCCTGCTCTTGCCAATTATGTAAGTATAGAGCTACACACAGCTACTCACTACTGCCACAGGAACCACTGGCTTTAGCTCTTACCTCTGAGAAAAGTGTTGCTGGAAGTGAAGCTGCTTTTTAAAGTCTGATATTTAGCAAAAAATGGCATTTTAGTTTTCTATAATAACTAAGGTATTGTTTCCATGCTTTATGTATCAAGGAGAAAAAGACAGTTACCATACATGGAATCAGGGAAGTCTGTCCTGAGATGAGCATAAACACTGAAAATAATGGTGTGGAGAGAAACAAATATTAACATGATTGATCTGACACAAAATACAGTAGAATACTGTAAGTAATCTGGTGCCAGCAAGATCCTGCTGGGGAAAGAACAGTGAGGAATTATTTTGATTACTTAGAAAGTAAAGGATTCCCATCTTCATTCTGAGACAAGAAATTTTCTCCCCTTTAATCGGATCTCCAAGAGCAGTAATTTCCCAAAACATGGCTACTGCAGCCAATGCTTTATTAAGTGAAACACTGCTGCGAATCTGGGAAGCTAAATCCTTACCTCTTTTCATCTATTCCAAAAATCAGAACGTGGAGAACAACTTTAATGGGCAGACCAGTGAAAACTCAACCCACTCTGAGATCAGGGCCAGCACCACTCCAAAGGATGGGTCTGAGGCCTGGAAAACCATCTGGGACTTCAAGGCTGTAAGTAGCTTCCAGCATGGCACAAGAAAAATGGCAAAAGAGACAAATGTTTTCTAAAAACTGCCAAAGCTTCAACAAAATTTCATTGTATTTTAGAGGACATGCTTGAAAATGTGCTCCTTCAGTCTTGGGACTGTTTCTGCTGCCCACAGTGTGCTGCATTAGCTTTTCAGCAGCAAATTCCTTCACCTGCCCTAAGCAGGAGAACACATCATACACGTGGCATTGCTGGAGGAGGCAATTTACCTTTTACTAAAGCCTCTCGTCAGCCTCTGTGACACATTTACCTAAACAATATAATTGAAAGGACCAATATTTTCTTTCCCTGTGACTATTTGCACGGTAGGAAGCCTTTCTTTTAACCAGTGCCTCTCTCTAGCAACACACTTCTCTTTCTCTGTATATTGTTTGCAACAAAAAGGGGGTTTTGTTTAACTTCAACAGGGCTACGTTGCAACCAAGGTGTTTTCAAAGAACACCTGCATCATTGCTTCAACTAGCAAGAGGTTTTGGCTTGGCAAACCCTTTCCTACACCACCTCCAGGAGACAAGGTAGGATGGTGGTTGAAAGTGGGGCAAAAGATTGTCAGTGAATAGCACTTGTTCCTACACATGCAAGGAAAAAGTCTCCAAGAACTGAAGAGAACTTTCTCATCAGGGCTGAGTTGCTCTAAAAGTTCCTTCAAAAGTTGCATTGCCCAGGAACAACCCCAACTACTGTTCAGCCTGGCCTTGGACACTTCCAGGGATGAGCAGCCACAGCTTCTCTGGGCAGTTTGTGTCAGCACCTCCCCACCCTCACGGGGAAGAATTTTTTCCCCTCTAACCCTGCCCTCTGGCAGTGGGAAGCCATTTCTCCTTTTCACTCCAGGCCCCTGTAAACAGTCCTGCCCAATCTTTCCTGTCGGCTCCAATGAAGTCACCTGAAACTTCTCTCCTCCAGGATGAACAATCCCAATTATCTCAACCTTTCCTCATAGCAGTGCTGCTCCATGCCTCTGGTCATACTGGTGCCTCCTCTGGACTCTCTCCAGCGGCTCCAGGTCCTTCCTGTGCTGGGCCGCAGTGCTGGGGCAGCTCTGCACATGGGTCTCACCTGAGCAGAGGGGCAGAATCCCCCTGGAGCTGCTGCCCATGCTGGGGGGTTCCTGGGCTGTCGGTGCACATTGGTGGGTTATGTCCAGCCTGTCACCCACCAGGCCCCAGGTCCTTCTTGCCAGGGCTACTCTGGATATGTGCATGGCCAGTTCTGATCTCCAGTTTTGGTTTTCCTAAACGCTGTTTTCTGGCTTTGTTTCTTTGATGCTCAGGTACTTGGGCCTTACCAGATGCCACGCAGAGAGAATCGCTTCATTATCTCCAGGAACAGACTCCAAAGCTTGAGCCCGTATGGAAAACGCATCCAAGCCCTGTGCGCAGGAATTCCCTCCTACCTCGCTTACCCAGCTCCTGGTGAGTCTGCTACTGACAGCCTGGTGTTCCAGAATTAGCACAGGTTAACAGGATTGCAAAATCCTGTCACTTACTGAGATCCTGTGCTTTTCTATGACTTTTTATACATCCATTTATACATATCTAAGGAAACCCAGCAGGTCTGTCACTCTCCTGTGTACAACGACCTGGAGCCCAGCCATTCTCAGGAAGGTTCTGGGTTCTAGTTCTTGACATAAATCTGGAATTTTTAGGCAACGAGTTGGAAGCATTTCAGCTACATTTTTATTTTCATATTTTCTCAGTCCAAATCTAATAGGTTTTTTCTTCTTTCAGGATCAAACTTCTTAAGAGGATCAAACGTCTCATCAGGATGAAACTTCTTAGAGTGAGATATTTCATGACTGAAATTTAAGATTAATGAACTGCCTGTTTATTACTGTGGTTACTCCTGAAAAAGTTTGCAGAAGAAAATTCATAGAACTTTGTACCCATTAGTAAGATTTTACTCCTTGATTATCTTCTCTTGATCATATTTTCATTCATTTATCTTTCTTCTGCTCTGTATGGAAGCTGCTGAGTCTCAGTAAAATTAATCATCAACCTACACTAGTCTGTGCTGTATTTTTACAAACCCTTTGAAAAAGCAGAAGCAATTCCAAAAACAAGTTGCAAAACTAATGTTCTTGCAAAATCCCAATTTTGGCACTTAAACCTCTTCCAGTACAACTTCTCAGGGAGAGCTCACATATTGCCTTGAGTAATTATTCATCAATACTAGAAGATGGTGCTATACCTACTACATCACCCATATTAAGATGAGATCAGCATAAGTTTCTTTTCTTCTTTTTCTTCTTTCTTTTTCTTTTGACATAGTAAAATGTAGCAATATGATGCAATGTGTAATGTTTTGTGTCAAAAATAAATATTGTTATGCAATATTGCCAATTGCAAAGAGATGCACTATTGCACTGAACAGCCCAGAAATTGAATTGCAGAAACAGAATTAAGAAGTGTATTAAATGAAGTCTGGGGTTGAAAAGAGGTGTTAGGCCAAAAGCAAAGCAAAAAGCCTGACCCTACTTTCTTCATTGAAAACTTCAACTCATTCTATCTGGAAAACACCACAGCTTCACCTTCCCTCCTCACTCAGGGGCCCCTTCCTTGCTCTTTGAAAGGAGCTACTCCAAGAGACTCCCACCGGGAACATCCCAGGGTTGCTCAAAGGGAAGGACACAGCAGCTTGTTCTCTTCAGGAAAAGCCTTTTGGGCACTCTAAGGGTCAACTGACGTGAAAACCAAAGCAAAACTGCACCCAAGAATTTTTTAGCACCTCCAAAGAAAAGCAATCGTAGGGTTGCAGTATTTAAAGAACCGCTCCTGTCTGCCTTGCCTGCGGTTTCTGGAGACACTCTCCTCTCCTTTTCTAGCCTGACACTGCATTTTGCTTGGGATGCCACAGGCACAGCCCTCTTCCCTGGTCCTGCGGGGAGCCACCGGGAATGTGTCCCCGGGGGCCGTGAGCCCTGTCACAGATGATGATCGCAGATGCCCCCAGGCAGCCGGGGTGTGAGCTGAGCAGAGTCTGGGGTGCCGATCTCGCAGCCCCGCGGTCACCGCGCAGCACAGAGAGAGCCCGGCAGCCCCGCCGGCAAACTGGGGCAGCCGCTGCCCGCTCCAGCCACGGAATCACACACGGAATCACACACAATCACAGAATCACACGGTTGGAAGAGACCTTCAAGATCGCCAAGTCCGACCCAGCCCCAACACCGCAGCTAGACCATGGCACCAGTGCCACATCCAGTCTGCTTTTAAACACATCCAGGCGTGGTGCCTCCACCGCCTCCCCGGGCAGACCATTCCAGTACTTTATCTCCCTTTCTGTAAAAACCGTTTTCCTAATATTCAACCTATTTGTCCCCAGTTTCTCCATGCAGGGAATAGCAGGGCACAGCTGCTCCTGACAGCTGCAACACCTGCAATACCTTGCCTGCTGCAATACCGTCCCCAGGAGAGTAAAGCACCGGCAGTAAGGTCCAGCTGCCCACAAAATTTCTTTAACTTCATGCACTTAAGAGGAAAAATCTGTCAACAACTGTAAATTAATAAAACTGGAAACATGTAAATGTCTCAGGGCTGCTTTGACAAGTCCACAGAGGCACAGATGCCTCAGACCTCACCGCTGCATTTTAGTGAGTGCTATGGTGACCCGATAACATACAGTATATTTTGAAAGGTAAAAAGGCTTTCAAATATTTTGTCTAATGCAAAGCTTTTTATGTTCTTGTTTAAGCTCTAGGATATCTCCGGTCTTAGGTTTGATGTGAATTTTCAAAAGTAAATAGTACATGTTAGAAAAATACTAGAAACATATTTAATTTTTCACTACAAATGAATTCCAATTTGATAACTATCAGACTCCAGGAGGTCAAAAGGTTCAGAAGTACAATCCCCATGTTTATCAAGTAGTTACACCAGGAAATAATTTTCAGGGACAAATGATAGGGAAACAAATGAGAAAATAATTTCATTGTAACACTCAGCATTTTTACAGTGATTTCTGAAAACATATAAAAGGTGGAGGGTTCACGCTGCTCTTTCTACCTGCAGGAGCATCAGCTCTGCAGTCAGGATGCATCTCCCTGTAAGTATGCGTGCTTTTCTTCCTTACAAACTGAAACTTTGATTCAAACCCGTTCCTTTATCTCTCAGAAGGGCTTCTGCCTCTCTGGGGCCATTGTGCTCCTGCAGAAGGAGCAGCTCAGCCCCTGCTCCCCAGAGGAGCTGAGGAGGTAAGGATTTCTTCCTGGCTTGGCTGTACATGATTCAGAAAACAGGAAGCCTAATCCATGCCCATTCTTGTCAACGCTTTTGCACCACTGGAGCACTGCACGAGTGCATCAAGCCCTTCCCTGCAATGCCAGAGCAGAAGAAATGGCAAAGCTTTCTCCTCACTCCTGTAAAATACCTGTGTGTGCCTGCACAGGTCTGAGAAACAGCTCTTGAGAGAGCAAGTGGGAAATGTGTCTGCTTTGAGCAGCCTGGGGTAAAGCAAGGGTGCCTCCCTTTGGGGGCACTGATGCAATCCCAGGTCGAAAGCAAAAAAAGGATCCAAAGAGGAGCCTTAAACATCAGATTAGGAAAAGGGAAGGAGGATTGTCATGGCCAGATTTGTCAGCCAGAGCTGCAGTTACATTTTGTATTTGATTTTCATTTCAGATTTTGACTGCAGTCCTTCTTGGACTTGTCCTGAATCCAGCCCTTGCTGATTACGTGAGTACAATGACCAATTTCCATGTGCATGGCTACTCTGCCTCTATTCCCTGCTTCATGAAATCTCCTTGATTCTTTCTCCAACACTTTGAAGGAAAAGAATGGAAATCTTCTCAAAGAGATGAAACTCTAAAAGAACCAAATTACAGGTGTCAGATGCAGCAATGATTCATGGAATCCTTGAAAAGAATTCTTATGGCTACTGCCCAATGCCAATGCCTTGATTCTGGGTCTATTTGAAAATACTGAGGCCACTTCTGCCTCTTAGAGGGGGGAACAGAATTTCTGTTGGAGCAAGGGTTTTTTAAAAGCAATGGAGACAACACTGACTAATGTTACAATCTAAAAGTGCTCCATTTGGTTTTCCAGTCTCAGCAGACAAATGGAAACCAGCAAATCATCTTTGGTGGAGACTCCCAAATCACTATCACCGGTATTTCACAAGGCGTGAAGATCAATAGTCAAACAAGGGTGGCAATCATCGAGCAAAAGAGTCAAAATTTATCATGGAAAACCATCTGGAACTACAACAGGGTGAGTGCACGGGAGTGGGAATGTTAAAAAGGTGACCCAGGGATGGGGCTTGTTTCTGTATTCTGATCATCTGAAGTAAACTGTGTGGGGTAGAAACAAATATTGATTTGTAACTGCTTCTATCCTGACTTTGAACCAACCTCAAAAGTTGGAAAAACTGAATTGTGAATGCTATATACTTTTATTTTACAGGGTGTCATTGCAACCAAAGTCATGCAACAGAACACCTGCTACATTTCCATCATGAACAGAACTGAGATACCCAGCTTTAACAACCTGGCCCGACTGGCTGCAGAGAGCAGGGTAAGAAACCAAAGGAATAGCACGTTCCTGACCCTGGAGTTTATTAGATTGTTTCTTCTTCTGCTTCTTCTTTCTGGAGAGGATCAGGTTGTGTCTAGTGGCTGGATTTCCTTTCACTCAACAGTAATGTAGATTTGAAATCTGTTGTAGGAATATTTTGCCAGAAGAAGAAAGGGGCTGCATTATTCCCACAACCATCTCCACTTTCTCTGAGGGTGCTGAGCTCTGCAGGTTGCTGGGCAAATATTCTCCCTTTGCTGCTGCCTTCAAGGCTTCCTAGTGGTCCCACAAACCTCAAGGGATTAAAAGGTGTCCTTAAAGGCAGTTGGGATTCCAACATGCAGCCCCGAGTCATTGTCCCAGAACTAGGAATATCTCAAGCAGGAATCAGCTCCTGACACTGATGTGGCTGAATTCTGTTTTTTAATGTTTAGAACCACATTGGTCTTGGAATACCTACCAAGGAGATCACCTTTGTCACCAATGGATTGGTCAACAACCTCAACTCCTATGGAATAGAAATTGCAGCTATGTGCAGTGGACTCACCACCTACATGGCTTATGAAGTTGATGGTGAGTGAATTCATGGAAATTCTGAGTTGGCTTTTTTGTTTCCCGGGCATTACTAAAGCACAGTTGCTACTCTTCCACCTCAAAACCCATAGAAACCAAGGGCTCAGCAGTTGTGGTTTAGCATGACTGCAGATCAGGAATGGAACAGGGTGGGGTCTCAGCCCCCAAAAATAACCCAAACCGAACCCTTACAGCACATTTCTGGGAAACTTAATGAGTGTTTTATCCCACACCTAAGCTCCCCTGTAATACTCAGCTAAGAAGAGGAGTTGTCCATAGAACTGCTGTCCTTCAGGTCAGAGCTTGGTAATCAGTTGAATCGGGCAGCCTCCAAAGCCTTGTGCTTCACAACACAAAGCCAAGTTTCTCTGATCCCTGGAGATTTGTCCCTGGGGCAATGATCCCATTCCCAGGGCTAAAATGACCTAAACTTGATAGGATTCTTACAGAAAGTCACAGCTCATGTGACTGGCAGCAGCCTCACCATGCAATGCCCAGTCTTTGGGACTCTCAGGACAAAGTGCAATAGCGCCCCAGCTTCTGCACAGGAAATCCCAAAGGGTGTTCAAGAGCAGGTCTTTGTGAGCATTCCTGGCGGAGCCACAGAGCCAGTGCTCTCTGGGGACTGCAAGAGAAAGTGGGCCTTGTACAGCTCAAATATTCCCACAGCAGCTCTCCTTTAGGACCTGGTTGGCTCTGAGCAACACCACCACCCTCCTGTAGAAAGGCAGGCAAGGTCTTCTGCATCAACTCATGGGGTTTTGTTTCTTCTTTTCTTGCTTTTCAAGGGCTCCAAGTGAATCTGGGATCATGCATTACCCTCAATGTCTTGAGAGCTGTGGATCTGAGGTACTGCAACAGCAATGGCAATTGGAATGGCAATTGGAATGGCAATGGCAATTGGAATGGCAATGGCAACTGGAACAACAATTGGAATGGCAATTGGAATATCACTGGCAATTGGAATGGCAATGGACAGGTGAGAAAACCTTAGCCCTTAATTTCCATTAAGCAAATAGGGGGAACCTGAGCAGCTGTCCAAATCCAACCCTGATGCCCTCTGGCCTGGCATCTCCTCTTTTGAGAGATTCCTGCTTGAGGGTGCAGATGCTGAAAGAGAGCAATGAGTGAGCAGAGATTTCCATCCAAGCCTTTGAGCATGGATTTACTCTGGCCAGTGATCTAACATGCATCAGCCTCTAAAGGCAACAAATGACTGTTGTGAGATGCAGCAATGATTCACTGAATCCATGGAAAGAATTCTTGTGGTCTCTGCCCACTGCCACAGCCTTGATTCTGGGTCCTTTGGAAAAGACTGAGGGCAGTGCAGGCACTTCCTGGGCCAGCACTTCTTCCATTGTGGCAGGGATTCTGTGGAAAATTTTGGGACATCACTGTCTCCTTTCACAGGTGAAACATCATTTTTCACTTGGCTTTTTAGTCTCAGCAGTTTCCCGGCGGCATCTTCAACAACACACAAGGCAGCATCTTCAACAACACCCAAGTCATCATTGGTGGCCAGTCCCAAATTGTGACCATCAACAGGCAATGGCGTGTGGCTGTCATTGAGCAAAGGAGCATCAGCAGGTCCTGGAAAACCGTCTGGAACTACAACACGGTGAGTGGCAACACGGGAGGGGGCTTGTTCACCTACATCCAAGGAAACTGGCTGCTATTATATCTGGGCCAGAGATAGTGGTAATTTCTTTATTCTGAATGTTTGGAGTCCATGATGTAGGGTAGAAACTCTCAGCATTAGTTGTGGCTTCCATACCAACTTTGTCAAGTGTAAACAGCTGGAAGTTACTGAATTTTGAGTGTTGAATAATTTCATTTCACAGGGCATCATTGCAACCAAAGTCACGCAACAGAACACCTGCTACATTTCCATCATGAACAGAAGCGAGATGCCGCGCTTTGATAACCTGGCCCGCCTGGCACAAGAGAGCCGGGTAAGGTTCCAAAGGAGCAGCAGGTTCCTAGCTGTAGAGATCACTGGGTCATTTCTTCGGGGCTGCATTGTTCCCTCAATCAGCTAAACTTTCTATCAGGATATTGAGCTCAGCATCTTGCTGGGCAAAGCCTTGCTCTGAGAAGCCCTTCAAGGGCCTTAATCCTATTGGCATGCCAAGATCTCAGTGTCCTTCACAGGCTTTTCACAAACAATTTGGATCGCTCAGCTCAGAACTTTGCCTTGTAGCTGCTCTTGGCCAGACTTCCTTTTGATTTGCGGCCTGAGAAAGCATCTCCCCATTCCTCAGCTTTTCTCCCAAATTCATGGGATGAGCCACTGTTGTGGCTTCTGGACCTAGCTGAGAGAGCAAAGGGAACTGAGGGCCTCAGAGAAAAGAGCAGGAAAGCAGGCACCGACTTGGGCCAGGCCACAGATCACTCCAGGAGGAAATTAGAGTGGCAATTCATTTGAAATGAAGCTCACAAAGGGCTTTCAGAACCACGTGTTCCACTTGAGAACCCAGTGGTCTCTAAGATGGGCGGTAAGCACCATTTGCAACTTGTCCGAAAGCAAATGTATCTGCCCGGGCATGCTGTTACCCTCTTTGGTTCCAGGTTAGAAGGGGCTGGAGGATGAGACTTCTGCCAGCCTTGCAGCCATAGCCCGGGTGCCTCTGAGAGGCAGGGGCAGTGACTGAGCAAATGCCTTGGAAGGAGCTTTGGCTCCACAGAGTGGTCACATTCCTCTTCAGCACGTTCCTTGCACTACCACTTTCCTTCAGGCTCCAAGCACCTTGACTCCCTTAGAACCATCTCACTTTAAAGCAGTCTTCAAGGCTAGCTAGTGGTCCCACAGGCCCCCAGGGGATTAAAAGGTGTCCTACAGTGTATTTGAACCCAAACACCCAGCCATGAGTCATCATTACAGAACTAGGAACAGCCCAATCAGGAACAGACTCCTGGCACTAATCTTGCTGAATGCTGTTTTTGATGTTCAGAACCAGATCGGCATTTTTGGAAGACATACCAAGAGAATCACCTTTGTCACCAATGGACTGGTCAACAACCTCAACTCCTATGGAGCAGACATCATGGCTATGTGCAGTGGACTCACCACCTACCTGGCTTCCGAAGTTCACAGTGAGTGAAGCATGGGAATTCTAAATGCTAATGACCTGGCTTTTTCATTCTTGGAATGTGACTAAGGCACAGCTGCTACTCTTCAATCTCAAAATCCAATTAAACCCTCCTGTAGAACTTCAGCCAAGCCCTTAGGCATCACCTCAAGCAGATTTATCTTTTCTTTTCCAGCTTTCCAGGGACCCCAGGCGAATCTGGGATCCTGCATTACCCTCGACGTTCTGAGAGTTGTAGAGCTGCAGTACTGCAATAGCAACGGCACTTGGAATGGCCAATGGAATGGCAATGGCAATGGCAACTGGAATGGCCAATGGAATGGCAATTGGAATGGCAACTGGAACAACAACTGGAATGGCACCAGCAATGACAACTGGAACAACAATTGGAATGGCATTGGCAATGACAACTGGAACAACAATTGGAATGGCAATGGAAACTGGAATGGCAATTGGAATGGCAATGGCAATTGGAACAACAACTGGAATGGCAATTGGAATGGCAATGGCAATTGGAACAACAACTGGAATGGCAATTGGAACGGCAATTTCCCGGTGAGAAAACTTTAGCCCTTAGATTTCGTGAACCTAATTGGGGGGGGAAACAAAGATGCTGCCCAAAGCCAACCCTGATGCCCTTCTTGCCTGGTGTCTCCTCTTTTGAGAGGTTCCTGCTTGAGGGTGCAGATGCTGAAAGAGAGCAATGAGTGAGCAGAGCTTTCCATCCAAGCCTTTGAGCATGGATTTACTCTGGCCAGTGGTCGAGCATGCATCAACCTCTAAAGGCAGCAGGTGGCAGCTGTCAGATACAGCAATGATTCACGGAATCCATGGAAAGAATTTTTAAGGTCACTGCCCACTGCTGCAGCCTTGATTCTGGGTCCTTTGGAAAAGACTGAGGGCAGTGCCAGCACTCCCCAGGGCCGGCACTTTTTCAACTGTGGCAGGGATTTTTTGGAAGTTTTGGGGACATCACTGTCTCCCTTCAATGCAAACCATCTTCTTCCCCTTGCCTTTGTAGTCTCAGCAGTTTCCCGGCGGCATCTTCAACAACACGCAAGGCAGCATCTTCAACAACACCCAAGTCATCATTGGTGGCCAGTCCCAAATTGTGACCATTAACAGGCAGTGGCGTGTGGCTGTCATTGAGCAAAGGAGCTTCAGCAGGTCCTGGAAAACCGTCTGGAACTACAACACGGTGAGTAGCAGGAACGGGACTCTTTCAAAATCATCCAAGAAGGTTGTTGCTCACACAGATGGCTGAGGGACAGTGATTATTTCCCCTATTCTGAACATTTGTCTGGGGCACTGAAACTAAGCATTAGTTATGCTTTCCATCCTGAGTTTTTCCCAGCATTAATACTTGGAAGAAACTGAATTTGACCGATTAATACTTTTATTTTACAGGGCATCATTGCAACCAAAGTCACACAACAGAACACCTGCTACATTTCCATCATGAACAGAAATGAGATGCCTCGCTTTGATAACCTGGCCCGCCTGGCACAAGAGAGCAGGGTAAGATTCTGGAGGAGTAGCAGGTTCCTAGCTGTAGAGATCACTTTTTCTTTCTGGACATGATCAGGTTGTGTCTTGTGGTGAAGTTTCCTTTCTCTCAACTGTAAAGCCAATTAGGAATTTGTTGCAGGAGTGCTTTCCAAAAGAAAGGGGTTGCATTATTCCCACCCCCACTTTCCTGGAGGATGTTGAGCTCTGCAGCTTGCTGGAAAACCCCGCCCTTATAGAGCTGTTTAGTGCTTTCTTTGTGCTGCCATCTCACCTCAAGTTCCATGCACCTTGACTCGCTTAGAATCAGCTTTGTCCCTTTGGAGCACCTGCCAAGGCTTGCTAGTGGTCCCACAGGCCCCCCAGGCGATTACAAAGTGTCCCTAGAGGCAGGTGGGACTCAAACACCCAGCCCTGAATCATCATTGCAGAGGAACAGGCCTAGCAGGAATCACCTCTCTTCACTAAGCTCACTGAATGGTGGTTTTTAATGTTTAGAACATGATTGGCGCTTTTGGAAGACATACCAAGAGAATCACCTTTGTCACCAATGGAGTGGTCAACAACCTCAACTCCTATGGAATAGAAATCGCGGCTATGTGCAGCGGACTCACCACCTACATGGCTTATGAAGTTCACAGTGAGTGTAAGTGTGGGAATTCTGAGTGGTACAGATCTGGCCTTTTTGTCTCCTGGGGCATGACTAGGGCACAGTTGCAGCTCTTCCACCTCAAAACCCAAAGAAACCCTCCTGTAGAACTTCAGCCAAGGGTTTAGGCATCAGCTCAAGCAGATTTATCTTTTCTTTCCCAGCTTTCCAAGGACCCCAGGTGAATCTGGGATCATGCATTACCCTCGATGTCCTGAGAGTTGTGGACCTGCAGTACTGCATTGGCAATGGCAGTGTCAATTTCCCGGTGAGAAAACCTAAGCCCTTACATCTCTTGAACCTAATAGGGGTGGGGTGGGGGTCTTCTGAGCTGCTGCCCAAAAACAACCCCGATGCCCTTCTTGCCTGGCATCTCCGCATTGAGAGGTTCCTGCTTGAAGCTTCAGTGCCTTTAAAGGGACCAATGGGTGAGCAGCAGTTTCCGACCAAGCTCTTGAGCGTGAATTTACTCTGGCCAGTGATCTAGAATGCATGAACCTCTAACAGCACCAGGTGGCAGCTGTCAGGTGCAGCAATGATTCACTGAATCCAGGAACAGACTTCTTAAGGCCTCTGCCCACTGCCACAGCCTTGATCCTGGGTCCTTTGGAAAAGACCGAGGGCAGTGCCAGCACTCCCTGGGGGCAGAACTTCTTCCATTGTAGCAGGGACTTTTTGAAGGCTTTGGGACATCACTGTCTCCCTTCAAAGGCAAAACATCTTCTTTCCCTTGCCTTTTTAGTCTCAGCAGATTCCCAGTGGCATCTTCAACCACACGCAAGTCATCATTGGTGGCCAGTCCCAAATTGTGACCATCAACAGGCAATGGCGTGTGGCAATCATTGAGAGAAGGAACATCAGCGGGTCCTGGAAAACCATCTGGAACTACAACACGGTCAGTGGCAACAACGGGTAACAAAAAGCAACCAAGGAGTCTGGCTGTTCATACAGCTGGCTCAGAGATGGTGATTGTTTCTTTATTCTGAATGTTTGGAGTCCACAGTCTGAGGCACTAACATTCAGCATTTGTTAGTTGGGTTTCCATCCCAACTTTATCCCAATATTAGCCGTTGGTAAAAACAGAATTGTGAGTGCTGAATAATTTCATTTCACAGGGCGTCATTGCAACCAAAGTCACGCAACAGAACACCTGCTACATTTCCATCATGAACAGAAGTGAGATGCCCCGCTTTGATAACCTGGCCCGCCTGGCACAAGAGAGCAGGGTAAGGTTCCAAAGGAGCAGCAGGTTCCTGGCTGTAGAGATCACTGGGCCATTTCTTCATGTGCTTTTTATTTCTAGATAAGGTCAGGTTGTCACTAGTGACAGAGTTTCCTTTCTCTTAAAAGTAATGAAGATGAGAAATGCATAGTAGGAATGCTTTGCCAGAAGAAGAATAGGGCTGCATCATTCCCTTTGCCACTTTCCATTAGGAGGTTGGCCTCTGCAGCTTGCTAGGTGAACCTGTTCTTTGAGGAGCCTTTCAGGGCTATTGTTCTGCTTCCACTTCCCCTCAAATTCACTGCATCTTGACTGATGTAGAACAAGCTCAGCCTTTGCAGCTATGTTCAAGGCTTCCTCGTGGTCCCACAGGCCCCCAGGGGATTAAAAAGTCTCTCTAAAGGCAGATGGGAATTAAACACACCTCTAGAGTCCTCGTCTGAGAGCTAGGAATAGCCCTGGCAGGAACCAGCTCCTGGCATGCAATTGCTGAATGCGGGTTTTTGATGTTCAGAACCTGATTGGTGTTTTTGGAAGACATACCAAGAGAATCACCTTTGTCACCAATGGACTGGTCAACAACCTCTACTCCTACGGAATAAACGTCGCGGCTATGTGCAGTGGACTCACCACCTACATGGCTTCTGAAGTTCACAGTGAGTGCAAGCAAGGGAATTCTGAGGGTTATGACCTGGAGTTTACTGTCCTTGGGGCAGGACTAGGGAACAGTTGCTGCTCTTCAATCTCAAAATCCAATGATACCCTCCTGTAGAACTTCAGCCAAGCTCTTAGGCATCAGCTCATGGGGTTTTGTCTTTTCTTTTCCAGCTTTCCAGGGACCCCAGGCGAATCTGGGATCCTGCATTACCCTCGATGTCCTGAGAGTTGTAGAGCTGCAATACTGCAATAGCAATGGCAATTGGAATGGCCAATGGAATGGCAATTGGAATGGCATTGGCAACGGCAACTGGAATGGCCAATGGAATGGCATCGGCAATGGCCATTGGAACAACAACTGGAATGGCATTGGCAATGGCCAATGGAATGGCCAATGGAACGGCAATGGCAATGGCAACTGGAACAACGATTGGAATGGCAATGGCAATGGCAATTGGAATGGCCAATGGAACGGCAATGGCAATGGCAACTGGAACAACAATTGGAATGGCATTGGCAATGGCAACTGGAACAACAACTGGAATGGCATTGGCAATGGCAATTGGAATGGAAATGGCAACTGGAACAACAATTGGAATGGCAATGGCAACTGGAATGGCAATTGGAATGGAAATGGCAATTGGAACAACAATTGGAACGGCAATTGGAATGGCAATTTCCCGGTGAGAATACTTTAGCCCTTAGATTTCGTGAACCTAATGAGGGGGGGAAACAAAGATGCTGCCCAAAGCCAACCCTGATGCCCTCTTGCCTGGTATCTCCTCTTTTGAGAGGTTCCTGCTTGAGGGTGCAGATGCTGAAAGAGAGCAATAAGTGAGCAGAGCTTTCCATCCAAGCCTTTGAGCATGGATTTACTCTGGCCAGTGATCTAGTATGATTCAACCTCAAAAGGCAGTATGTGGCTGCTGTCAGATACAGCAATGATTCATGGAATCCATGGAAAGAATTCCTGTGGCCTCTGCCCACTGCTACAGCCTTGATTCTGGGTCCTTTGGAAAAGACTGAGGGCAGTGCCAGCACTCCCCAGGGCCGGCACTTTTCCATTGTGGCAGGGATTTTTTTGAAGATATGGGGACATCACTGTTTCCCTTCAAAGGCAAAACTTCTTCTTTCCCTTGTCTTTTTAGTCTCAGCAGTTTCCCGGCGGCATCTTCAACAACACGCAAGGCAGCATCTTCAACAACACCCAAGTCATCATTGGTGGCCAGTCCCAAATTGTGACCATCAACAGGCAATGGCGTGTGGCAGTCATTGAGCAAAGGAGCTTCAGCGGGTCCTGGAAAACCGTCTGGAACTACAACACGGTGAGTGGCAGGGATGGGACTCTTTCAAAAATCATCAAAGAAGGCTGGCTGCTCATGCAGCCGGCCCTGAGACTGCAATTGCTCCATTTTTCTGAACTTTTAGAATCCACAGTCCAGGGCACTGAAACCCAGCATTAGTTATGCTTACCATCCTGACTTTTTCCCATCATTAATACTTGGAAGAAACTGAATTTGAGCGCTAAAAACTTTTATTTTACAGGGCATCATTGCAACCAAAGTCATGCAACAGAACACCTGCTACATTTCCATCATGAACAGAAATGAGATGCCTCGCTTTGATAACCTGGCCCGCCTGGCACAAGAGAGCAGGGTAAGATTCTGGAGGAGTAGCAGGTTCCAGGCTGTAGAGATCACTGGGCGATTTCTTCATGTGCTTTTTCTTTCTGGACATGATCAGGTTGTGTCTTGTGGCAGAGTTTCCTTTCTCTCAACAGTAATGCATATTAGGAATTTGTTGCAGGAGTGCTTTCCAAAAGAAAGGGGTTGCATTATTCCCACCCCCACTTTCCTGGAGGATGTTGAGCTCTGCAGCTTGCTGGGAAAACCCGTTCTTTCTGAAGCTTTTTAGTGCTTTCCTTGTGCTGCCATCTCACCTCAAGTTCCGTGCACCTTGACTCGCTTAGAATCAGCTTTGTCCCTTTGGAGCACCTGCCAAGGCTTGCTAGTGGTCCCACAGGCCCCCCAGGCGATTACAAAGTGTCCCTAGAGGCAGGTGGGACTCAAACACCCAGCCCTGAATCATCATTGCAGAGGAACAGGCCTAGCAGGAATCACCTCTCTTCACTAAGCTCACTGAATGGTGGTTTTTAATGTTTAGAACATGATTGGCGCTTTTGGAAGACATACCAAGAGAATCACCTTTGTCACCAATGGAGTGGTCAACAACCTCAACTCCTATGGAATAGAAATCGCGGCTATGTGCAGCGGACTCACCACCTACATGGCTTATGAAGTTCACAGTGAGTGTAAGTGTGGGAATTCTGAGTGGTACAGATCTGGCCTTTTTGTCTCCTGGGGCATGACTAGGGCACAGTTGCAGCTCTTCCACCTCAAAACCCAAAGAAACCCTCCTGTAGAACTTCAGCCAAGGGTTTAGGCATCAGCTCAAGCAGATTTATCTTTTCTTTCCCAGCTTTCCAAGGACCCCAGGTGAATCTGGGATCATGCATTACCCTCGATGTCCTGAGAGTTGTGGACCTGCAGTACTGCATTGGCAATGGCAGTGTCAATTTCCCGGTGAGAAAACCTAAGCCCTTACATCTCTTGAACCTAATAGGGGTGGGGTGGGGGTCTTCTGAGCTGCTGCCCAAAAACAACCCCGATGCCCTTCTTGCCTGGCATCTCCGCATTGAGAGGTTCCTGCTTGAAGCTTCAGTGCCTTCAAAGGGACCAATGGGTGAGCAGCAGTTTCCGACCAAGCTCTTGAGCGTGAATTTACTCTGGCCAGTGATCTAGAATGCATGAACCTCTAACAGCACCAGGTGGCAGCTGTCAGGTGCAGCAATGATTCACTGAATCCAGGAACAGACTTCTTAAGGCCTCTGCCCACTGCCACAGCCTTGATCCTGGGTCCTTTGGAAAAGACTGAGGGCAGTGCCAGCACTCCCTGGGGGCAGAACTTCTTCCATTGTAGCAGGGATTTTTTGGAAGCTTTGGGGACATCACTGTCTCCCTTCAAAGGCAAAACATCTTCTTTCCCTTGCCTTTTTAGTCTCAGCAGATTCCCAGTGGCATCTTCAACCACACGCAAGTCATCATTGGTGGCCAGTCCCAAATTGTGACCATCAACAGGCAATGGCGTGTGGCAATCATTGAGAGAAGGAACATCAGCGGGTCCTGGAAAACCATCTGGAACTACAACACGGTCAGTGGCAGACAGGGTGCTCCATCAAATGGCATCCAAGATGTCCAACTGTTCATACAGCTGGCCCAGAGATGGTGATTGTTTCTTTATTCTGAATGTTTGGAGTCCACAGTTTGGGCAATACACTCAGCATTTGTTAGTTGGGTTTCCATCCCAACTTTATCCCAATATTAGCCGTTGGTAAAAACAGAATTGTGAGTGCTGAATAATTTCATTTCACAGGGCGTCATTGCAACCAAAGTCACGCAACAGAACACCTGCTACATTTCCATCATGAACAGAAGTGAGATGCCCCGCTTTGATAACCTGGCCCGCCTGGCACAAGAGAGCAGGGTAAGGTTCCAAAGGAGCAGCAGGTTCTTGGCTGTAGAGATCACTGGGCCATTTCTTCATGTGCTTTTTATTTCTAGATAGGATCAGGTTGTCACTAGTGACAGAGTTTCCTTTCTCTTAAAAGTAATGAAGATGAGAAATGCATAGTAGAAATGCTTTGCCAGAAGAAGAATAGGGCTGCATCATTCCCTTTGCCATTTTCCATTAGGAGGTTGGCCTCTGCAGCTTGCTAGGTGAACCTGTTCTTTGAGGAGCCTTTCAGGGCTATTGTTCTGCTTCCACCTCCGCTCAAATTCACTGTACCTTGACTGATGTAGAGCAAGCTCAGCCTTTGCAGCTATGTTCAAGGCTAGCTAGTGGTCCCACAGGCCTCCAGGGGATTAAAAAGTCTCTCTAAAGGCAGATGGGAATTAAACACACCTCTAGAGTCCTCGTTCGAGAGCTAGGAATAGCCCTGGCAGGAACCAGCTCCCAGCAGGCAATGGCTGAATGCGGGTTTTTGATTTTTAGAACATGATTGGCATTTTTGGAAGACATACCAAGAGAATTACCTTTGTCACCAATGGACTGGTCAACAACCTCTACTCCTATGGAATAAACGTCGCGGCTATGTGCAGTGGACTCACCACCTACCTGGCTTCTGAAGTTCACAGTGAGTACAAGCATGGGAATTCTGAGGGTTATTACCTGACCTTTATTGTCCTTGGGGAAGGACTAGGGAACAGTTGCTGCTCTTCCACTCAGTACTCAAAAAAACCCTCCTGTAGAACTTCAGCCAAGCTCTTAGGCATCAGCTCATGGCGTTTTGTCTTTTCCAGCTTTCCAAGGACCCCAGGCGAATCTGGGATCCTGCATTACCCTCGATGTCCTGAGAGTTGTAGAGCTGCAGTACTGCAATAGCAATGGCAATTGGAATGGCCAATGGAATGGCAATTGGAATGGCAATGGCAACGGCAACTGGAATGGCCAATGGAATGGCATTGGCAATGGCCACTGGAACAACAACTGGAATGGCAACGGCAATGGCAACTGGAATGGCAATTGGAATGGTAATTGGAATGGTAATGGCATTGGCAATGGCAACTGGAACAACGATTGGAATGGCATTGGCAATGGCAACTGGAACAACGATTGGAATGGCATCGGCAATGGCAAGTGGAACAACAACTGGAATGGCAATGGGAATTGGAATGGCAACGGCAACTGGAACAACAACTGGAATGGCAATGGGAATTGGAATGGCAACAGCAACTGGAACAACAACTGGAATGGCAATGGCAACTGGAATGGCAATTGGAATGGCAATTGGAATGGCAATTTCCCGGTGAGAAAACTTTAGCCCTTAGATTTCGTTAACATAATGGGGGGGAACCAAGCTGCTGCCCAAAGCCAACCCTGATGCCCTTCTTGCCTGGTATCTCCTCTTTTGAGAGGTTCCTGCTTGAGGGTGCAGATGCTGAAAGAGAGCAATGAGTGAGCAGAGCTTTCCATCCAAGCCTTTGAGCATGGATTTACTCTGGCCAGTGATCTAGCATGCATCAACCTCTAAAGGCAGCAGATGACTGCTGTCAGATGCAACAATGATTCACGGAATCCATGGAAAGAAGTTTTAAGGTCACTGGCCACTGCTGCAGCCTTGATTCTGGGTCCTTTGGAAAAGACTCAGGGAAGTGCCAACACTCCATGGGGGGCAGTACTTCTTCCATTGTGGCAGGGATTTTTTGGAGGCTTTGGGATATCACTGTCTCCCTTCAAAGGCAAACCATCTTCTTCCCCTTGCCTTTGTAGTCTCAGAAGTTTCCCGGCGGCATCTTCAACAACACGCAAGGCAGCATCTTCAACAACACCCAAGTCATCATTGGTGGCCAGTCCCAAATTGTGACCATCAACAGGCAATGGCGTGTGGCTGTCATTGAGCAAAGGAGCTTCAGCGGGTCCTGGAAAACTGTCTGGAACTACAACACGGTGAGTGGCAGGGACGGGACTCTTTCAAAAATCATCAAAGAAGGCTGGCTGCTCATACAGCTGGCCCTGAGCCTGAGATTGTTTCTTTATTCTGAACTTTTACAGTCCACAGTCTGGGGCACTGAAACCCAGCATTAGTTATGCCTTCCATCCCAACTTTATCCCAATATTAACAGTTGGTATAAAAGGAATTTTGAGTGTTGAATAATTTCAATTCACAGGGCGTCATTGCAACCAAAGTCACGCAACAGAACACCTGCTACATTTCCATCATGAACAGAAATGAGATGCCCCGCTTTGATAACCTGGCCCGCCTGGCACAAGAGAGCAGGGTAAGATTCTGGAGGAGTAGCAGGTTCCAGGCTGTAGAGATCACTGGGCCATTTCTTCATGTGCTTTTTCTTTCTGGACATGATCAGGTTGTGCCTTGTGGCAGAGTTTCCTTTCTCTCAACAGTAATGCATATTAGGAATTTGTTGCAGGAGTGCTTTCCAAAAGAAAGGGGTTGCATTATTCCCACCCCCACTTTCCTGGAGGATGTTGAGCTCTGCAGCTTGCTGGGAAACCCGTTCTTTCTGAAGCTTTTTAGTGCTTTCCTTGTGCTGCCATCTCACCTCAAGTTCCATGCACCTTGACTCGCTTAGAATCAGCTTTGTCCCTTTGGAGCACCTGCCAAGGCTTGCTAGTGGTCCCACAGGCCCCCAGGCGATTACAAAGTGTCCCTAGAGGCAGGTGGGACTCAAACACCCAGCCCTGAATCATCATTGCAGAGGAACAGGCCTAGCAGGAATCACCTCTCTTCACTAAGCTCACTGAATGGTGGTTTTTAATGTTTAGAACATGATTGGCGCTTTTGGAAGACATACCAAGAGAATCACCTTTGTCACCAATGGAGTGGTCAACAACCTCAACTCCTATGGAATAGAAATCGCGGCTATGTGCAGCGGACTCACCACCTACATGGCTTATGAAGTTCACAGTGAGTGTAAGTGTGGGAATTCTGAGTGGTACAGATCTGGCCTTTTTGTCTCCTGGGGCATGACTAGGGCACAGTTGCAGCTCTTCCACCTCAAAACCCAAAGAAACCCTCCTGTAGAACTTCAGCCAAGGGTTTAGGCATCAGCTCAAGCAGATTTATCTTTTCTTTCCCAGCTTTCCAAGGACCCCAGGTGAATCTGGGATCATGCATTACCCTCGATGTCCTGAGAGTTGTGGACCTGCAGTACTGCATTGGCAATGGCAGTGTCAATTTCCCGGTGAGAAAACCTAAGCCCTTACATTTCTTGAACCTAATAGGGGTGGGGTGGGGGTCTTCTGAGCTGCTGCCCAAAGACAACCCCGATGCCCTTCTTGCCTGGCATCTCCGCATTGAGAGGTTCCTGCTTGAAGCTTCAGTGCCTTCAAAGGGACCAATGGGTGAGCAGCAGTTTCCGACCAAGCTCTTGAGCGTGAATTTACTCTGGCCAGTGATCTAGAATGCATGAACCTCTAACAGCACCAGGTGGCAGCTGTCAGGTGCAGCAATGATTCACTGAATCCAGGAACAGACTTCTTAAGGCCTCTGCCCACTGCCACAGCCTTGATCCTGGGTCCTTTGGAAAAGATTGAGGGCAGTGCCAGCACTCCCTGGGGGCAGAAATTCTTCCATTGTAGCAGGGACTTTTTGGAAGCTTTGGGACATCACTGTCTCCCTTCAAAGGCAAAACATCTTCTTTTCCTTGCCATTTTAGTCTCAGCAGATTCCCAGTGGCATCTTCAACCACACACAAGTCATCATTGGTGGCCAGTCCCAAATTGTGACCATCAACAGGCAATGGCGTGTGGCAATCATTGAGAGAAGGAACATCAGCGGGTCCTGGAAAACCATCTGGAACTACAACACGGTCAGTGGCAGACAGGGTGCTCCATCAAATGGCATCCAAATGTCCAACTGTTCATACAGCTGGCCCAGGGATGGTGATTGTTTCTTTATTCTGAATGTTTGAAGTCCACAGTCTGAGGCACTAACATTCAGCATTTGTTAGTTGGGTTTCCATCCCAACTTTATCCCAATATTAGCCGTTGGTAAAAACAGAATTGTGAGTGCTGAATAATTTCATTTCACAGGGCGTCATTGCAACCAAAGTCACGCAACAGAACACCTGCTACATTTCCATCATGAACAGAAGTGAGATGCCCCGCTTTGATAACCTGGCCCGCCTGGCACAAGAGAGCAGGGTAAGGTTCCAAAGGAGCAGCAGGTTCCTGGCTGTAGAGATCACTGGGCCATTTTTCATGTGCTTTTTATTTCTAGATAAGATCAGGTTGTCACTAGTGACAGAGTTTCCTTTCTCTTAAAAGTAATGAAGATGAGAAATGCATAGTAGGAATGCTTTGCCAGAAGAAGAATAGGGCTGCATCATTCCCTTTGCCACTTTCTCTGAGGATGGTGAGCTCTGCAGCTTGCTGGGTGAACCTGTTCTTTGAGGAACCCTTCAGGGCTATTGTTCTGCTTCCACTTCCCCTCAAATTCACTGCATCTTGACTGATGTAGAACAAGCTCAGCCTTTGCAGCTATGTTCAAGGCTAGCTAGTGGTCCCACAGGCCCCCAGGGGATTAAAAAGTCTCTCTAAAGGCAGATGGGAATTAAACACTGGGTCCACAGTCCTCCTCCCAAAGCTAGGAATGGCCCTGGCAGGAACCAGCTCCCAGCAGGCAATTGCTGAATGCTGGGTTTTGATGTTTAGAACCTGATTGGCGTTGTTGGAAGACATACCAAGAGAATCACCTTTGTCACCAATGGACTGGTCAACAACCTCTACTCCTACGGAATAAACATTGCAGCTATGTGCAGTGGACTCACCACCTACCTGGCTTCTGAAGTTCACAGTGAGTGCAAGCATGGGAATTCTGAGGGTTATGACCTCCCAAATATTTCCTTGGGGCAGGACTAGGGCACAGTTGCTGCTCTTCCATCTCTAAACCCAAAGAAACCCTCCTGTAAAATTTCAGCCAAGCTCTTAGGCATCAGCTCATGGGGTTTTGTCTTTTCTTTTCCAGCTTTCCAGGGACCCCAGGAGAATCTGGGATCCTGCATTACCCTCGATGTCCTGAGAGTTGTAGAGCTGCAGTACTGCAATAGCAATGGCAATTGGAATGGCCAATGGAACGGCAATTGGAATGGCAATGGCAATGGCAACTGGAATGGCCAATGGAATGGCATCGGCAATGGCCACTGGAACAACAACTGGAATGGCAACGGCAATGGCAACTGGAATGGCCAATGGAACGGCAATGGCAATGGCAACTGGAACAACGATTGGAATGGCAACGGCAACGGCAACTGGAATGGCATTGGCAATGGCAACTGGAACAACGACTGGAATGGCAATGGGAATTGGAACAACCAATGGAATGGCATCGGCAATGGCAACTGGAACAACAACTGGAATGGCAATTGGAATGGCATTGGCAATGACAACTGGAACAACAATTGGAATGGCAATGGCAACTGGAATGGCATTTGGAATGGCAATGGCAACTGGAACAACAACTGGAATGGCAATGGCAACTGGAATGGCAATTGGAACAACAATTGGAATGGCAATTTCCCGGTGAGAAAACTTTAGCCCTTAGATTTCATGAACATAATGGGGGGAAACCAAGCTGCTGCCCAAAGCCAACCCTGATGCCCTCTTGCCTGGTATCTCCTCTTTTGAGAGGTTCCTTCTTGAGGGTGCAGATGCTGAAAGAGAGCAATGAGTGAGCAGAGCTTTCCATCCAAGCCCTTGAGCATGGATTTACTCTGGCCAGTGATCT